AGAAGGTGGCGAGGAGGGCTGTGTAGGTTTTGATATTGGGGGAGTGGTTTGTCGTCGCTGGTGTTGGAGTAGCGTCGGGGTCTTCTTTGACTTTTATGGTCGTGATGGGCGCGTACTGTTGCATCACTGGTCGATTCCTCGTCGCGTCTTGTCGTACTAGTTCTACCTTCCCGCATATCTCTTCGATTGAGTACGTGTACCGTGGTGCCTCAGTATCCACCATGTTCATGTCCTGGCGCAGCGACTCTGCAAACCACGCCGAGTGGCGCGCGAGAACTGCACTGTGGAGTCATCATTGCGCTGGTTGCGAGACGAGATCGCACTTGATGGCCACATCGCCCGTGCGGAAGATTGGGAATGAGTCTGCCAGTGTGCCAGGTGCGAGAGGCGTTAGTGCTAACTTTGACTGTTGGAGATCGTTAGCGATGAATGGCGATTTGAAGGACTTGTTAGGAAGTGAAGGCCGAGGATGCGGGGGGATACTTACGATAGTGCTGGTATGTGAAGGCTCTCGCCCTGATTGCGGACTTGGGAGACTCGTCACGAAGTTCTGTGTTTGGGGGCCGCTCTTCGACACCATAGTTGGTCGGACTGGTTGCGGTGCATGTGAAGGTGATTTGTTCAAGTTGTCGTTTGGGATTTCAGATGTGCAGTTTGGACTCGGCGTTTGGGATGGACTTGCACTTGGAGCCAGTTGTACGGTATGCTGGGTAAATTTTTTCTCTTTCTTTTTCTTGTTGTTTGTCTGTGTGTTGCTGTGGCTTGTTGCTGTTGAAATCGCTGAGGCTTGACGCTTGCGAGGTGCTGGTGGCAAGTGAAAGGGCGCGCGCTTGCTCATGATGGCTGTTCGGTGGTGCGGGTGTGTTCGAGGATGCAAGGCTAGAGACGCCTAACTATCAGGTAATATTGCCTCTTAATTTGAATTTGGTGACCTAGGTAGTTCGCCCTGGCTATATAGCTGTGAATAGACAGCAAAGGCGTGAGAAGAAGAGATTCCAAGTTGTGCCCCGTGGACACAAGACCCGAGTGGGTGGAAAGTTGGTGTAGAAGATTTGGGTTCACAGGTAACGATATGAAGTGATGGATGGTGGGAGCAAACGAATGACAAAAACAAGCTATCTTGTCTTCGTCCAATTCAGTGTTATTCTTTTCTCCTGATGTCGTTCATACGCCTTTTTCTACCCCTTACCCCTAACCCTAACCGAACACTCAGGACTTGCTTGGACTGAAGCCATTGCCACACACGGTAACCCTGCAAAGCCCTGGCCCGTCAGGGAAGATGGTATTGTACTCATTCAGTACTGCTATGAGGACGAAGAAGCCAAGGAGGAACTTTCTGCGGTCATTGACGAGGCTGTGGCGTTGTGGATGACCAGACTAGGCCCGCCGGGTGCTGCAACTAAACACCGTCTGGCCATTCGATAAGTTCCCCATACTAGCCGTCCCTACTACTATTGGGAGGGGGAGACCTGGAACATCAATTATACGCCTGGTACACTTGTGATTCACAAGGAGAAGGATCTAAACCTAGGCGTCGTGGCTCGCGCTTCTTTGGGATGGCTACCGGAAGGCAAACCTGACCGACACGCCATGACGATTGATCTTACCAAAACCCCACTTGAAAATGCAGCTTTCCAAGTCGCGCACGAGTTTGGTAAGTCCCATGCACTCATGACCGTGATCCAGACCTAACATAATCATCAGGTCACGTTTTTGGACTTTGGCGTGTTCACCAGCGTGAGGATCGAGACAACTGGTTTTACTTCGATTGCAAGAACCTCGTTGGCTACGAGCGCACCAAGATCGAAGTCGAGAGGGATGGCAGAGTTACCATGGACCAGGTCTGTGACAGCCCCTTCCTGAGCTACAAGTACGGCTTTCTTGCGGCGGCGTGGTCGAAGCACGACTACGTCGACGATAAAGACTGGCAATGGCGACTCCACACTGGGCCGTTCGACGTCAAGTCCATCGTGTGAATCTATAACCGACCCTGGCCTGGTTGAGCGAGCGCTAACAGCTGAACAGGCTCTATTCGAGCGACACTGGTATAGACCCGAGTTCGGACGAGATTAACAAGCTTCTTGTCCCGCTTGTGAAATGGAAACACCCTATCGAAGGTGGTCACAAGCAACGCGATTTGACCAATTGCGACATCATTTTTCCGAATCGCTATCCATCTCGCCGTGACTTGTAGGGTGTCAATTATATATATCGGTGATAATGACTGGTAGATCTCGTCAGCCTTCCGATACATGGCTCAGCACCGGTCGATGTGGACTGCAAGCCGATGTTTGAAATATGTATAGGAAGGGTATCGCAATGTTAACACTATATTGGTGTGCGTTTTACTTCGTAGTTCGATGCGGACTACGATGGCAGTAGTTAGTACACACGTAGTTTCTGTAGCTAGTGTTGATAAAGACTCCAACATATCTTACGTTTGCGGTTTCTATATCTGCAATTTTTGGTTATATGTCTTTGGATCAAGGAGAGTCGGAGGTCAGCCTTTCCCGAGATTCTCACACATTCTCTCATCAGGCAATGATCGAGAGAATAGGAGTGGTTCCGCTTCGAAATGGTTAGAGGATATCGATTGGTAGAAACTGCGGCGGAAACACGCATCGTTGACGGCGTCTGTAAATTTCCCCAGCTCAGATTTGTGTGCACAAACTTCGTGTCATCACTTACAAATCGTATGTTCGGAACTTACCACAAAGACAACCACCATAAGCCCAGGTAGGAAGAACATGAGTACGTGCTGACACTCAGAAGAGATAGTCTTGGGACAAGAGCCAAGGGCAGTTGCCGGTCAGTAAAGATCGCTGAGCCTAGATCTAATTAAAGGAGACAGGGTTAACCATTACCCTGATCTCCATTCTAGATAAGTGTCATGAAGTCATGAAGCTGATGGTTCGATGAAAGCACCATTGTAAGGCAATTCGCGGGCCGTTGAAACTACACAATCGTGCGAATTAGGCCGGACTTTGGGCGTCGGTGACGCGTCTAGATGATAGACACCCGAAAAAGCGTAGAATCCAAGGCATTTTCCGTGTTCAATTTGCACAAACTGGGTGGGACTGAGCCTGGCGAAGGAACCGGATTCTTGTCCTAACACCAACTTCAGAAAGCTTGCATGACATGAAGTAAGCTTCAGAGTTTGTAAATCTCATCTCTGGTATTTGAAGTGTTTCATACAAATCTGCTAAAAGCCAGTCTTACAAAGGTAATCGCAAGATTGCGGAGTCTAAGACACGGCGCTAGTCTTCTTTCGGAGCATTTGAGGTGTGTCGCAGACCATCATTATACGACGAGGCATACTTTGTAAGGACCGAATTTGTAAGATGCAAGAACACTGCCTCGTTGGGATGGATCTTCAGAACCCGTCGCGTTGTGGATACGCGTATCAGGTCGAAGGGAAGGATCAACAAGCACTAGGGTAGATCATCTCTAGACAATTGGTACCCAAGCCTCTGAGTTACATGCACGTCCATGTGTTAGAACTGTCAAAGCGGAACGTTGCGGCGTCTTCGAGATCATTTCGCTGAGACAGCATGTTAGTGTGTCTGACGGGTAATCACTCGGGCCGTTTGAACGCTCAGCCCCCGCATTCGCACTCGCATTCAACACGCGTATCCGGGTTTCGCAGGCGTGTAGTCCTATGCTGTTTCGTGCACAGGGTGTGTTTCCAGACAACAAGCTACGACTCCAGAAGTTTGGAAAGTATATACATCGCGCGGTATCCAGCAGAATGTGGACCCATCATCGAGATCTCCCTTTTTCTATCTACAATACAAGCTTTGTTCGAATCATTCATCAGATCTATCCACACCCTCAAGTCCATCGATACTTCAAACCAAGAACTACCTTGAATCTTATCAGCCATGGCTATTCTCGACATTCTCAACAGGCCTATGTTCAGTAGTCGTTTCAAGCTCCCAATGCACATTGTCCAAGCTATTCTCGCAACTGTCGCCGTTGGCCTTTCTGTCCCACGACTCTTTGCCAAAAACCAACCGCGAACGAGAGCCAGCACCATTGCATTAGGCATGGTAAGTTTTCCCTCTAGTATTCCTTGGACTCAAGCAGAATGCTGACCACACTCACTATTAGGGTGCGAAATCTCTCATCTTTCTGGCCTATATGCTCGTATCCGAACACGTCCAGAGTTGCAAGAGATGGCACAGCTATAAAGCGAACGTTATCCTACACTGCCTAGAGATCGTCTTCTGGGCTGCTGTCGCTTTCTTGGTATTCCAGAGTAACTTGGACGTGTGTGTCGGATACACCTGTATTCTGAGCTGGATCGTAGTTGGTATCTCTGTAGTTATGCAGTGAGTACTGGCCCTCCTCTCCAAACCTTCTACAAGACTGACACATTTGTCCTAGCATCTCTGAGCAATATTCTGCTGCGATAGCTATTCGTGAATTGCGCGAATACAAGAAGATGCTAGTCTCGAGCAGTGGCGGCGACTTTGACCGAGTCGGAGATGAGGAAGAGATGGTAGCAAGATCTCCTGCTCAACCCAAAGCCACACACCCACACGATACTCAGTACAACCCTTCGTATCAAGGATACCAAGCATAGTGCGTCGCATCATTACACTCTTACCACATCACGATCCTCCCGTTGTTGCAACAAGGATTTTCGTCCATCAGCTTGCGATCAACCCTCACACTCTACTCGCACAATATTTCACCACTTCAATCTCCTCCTCGAGCCAATATCGCAACAAGGCACTTCTTGATGGTGCGGTGGGAAGACTTTTACACATCATCGCGATTTTCGTTTGTATCCTTCACAGTTCGGATCGTTACGTTTTTCTATTATTCCCACCTAGACATAGAACTTCATCGTGATGTCGCAAGACATTTCTCTTATAAAATACCCCACTTTTACAGCTATTCGTCTTGTTGTTGATTATAGCTGCCACACAATCTTACCTGCCAGCTTTCTTCCAGTAAAGTCATTTACCACTGATACCGAATTGACTAACACATAGACAACTATCCCTTTCTCTTCAAGCCCATTCCAGTGGGGACTTCATAAGTCCATGATATGTAGATGTGAAGGTAGAATGAATTTTAACGTCAGTCTTTATCTGCACGTTTCAACATTAATTTCACTGTCAATTTGAAATGTTATATTATGAGATGCTGCTGTAGAAGACATGCTCTTCGAAGGGGTCTGGATTGTTAGTTGTGAACTTGTAGTTGGATGAAGAAAATGGGTTCCACTCCGATTGTGTCCTCCTTCCACAAGACGTCGTTTCCCAACAGGAGCCATAATCTTAGGGGGCAATGTAGGTTGATCGATTTAACCGTAGTAAAATACTACTAGGATGGTACTCCAGCGATACATGCTTGGAGAGAGGATGCTGTGACTTTGTCAAAATGCTGATAGTGTGGAATCCGACAGTAGGTCGCCATATGTTCTGGATGGCACGGTTAAGAACTGGTAGTAACATCATTTGACCGAGCTTCTTTTCTCATGTAGAAAGATATTACGAGGACTCGATCATTGAAACATGACACGAGCGGTAACTCTATTTACTTTTGTACGAAGCGAACCTGCTAGGCCTTTTCGGACCTAGCGCCAGATTGTGGCACTCACCGCAATATCTTCACGTGAGTAAGGGTGGGCCCACGAAAACCTATGCTCTGACCACCACGACATCGGCATGCGAAAGATCTTCTCGATACTACACATATGAATAGAAGGCTCTGCCAGTGGTAAATTTTCTCCGCTCGAAGCCATGTTTGGCAAATCCTTATCTGTAGCAACACTGTTGGGATACAAGCATGACGGGACTGGTTAGACTCCGCTACATCGATGACGAGCAAAACGAAGTTGAAGAGAATTTTACTCCTTTTCTCTTAGAAGTCCCAATTTAGTTACAACTTTTACAATGTCTGCTATAACTACACAAACCGCACTTGAGCTCACCCAACCAATTAATGAGCGGAGACGTTCATTCCTCGTGTTGGAACAAGATCCATCAGCGCCATCGACGCCGAATCCGGCCAGTATATCAGCTCGTTCTGCACACTTTCCCGAACTCCAGAGCAAGCGCGTTAATTTTCACGAACTTCCTCCAGAAAACTCGCTTTCAATCACACCAGCAGGTGCCCAAACACCTTCGGGAGCATCGACCCCAGGATGGACCACACCAGGAACTGCAACACCAGCGGGATGGATAAGTTCTTCGGGGCAAGCCACCCCTGGATGGGCGACCCCCAAGTCTTCTCAAATGCGCCCTCTCATGTTTCCTGAGGAGGCTTATCCAGATGTTGGTTCGATTCATACATGGCGAGGCATATTTATCCTCTCTATCACTTGCGGCGCCCAGCTTATTGACAATGTTTTCATGACAGCGGTCAATCTATCGCTTCCAAAGGTTCAGGATGAGTTCGACGTTTCTTCTGGGGATCTGCAGTGGTTGCTTTCAGCGTACACACTTACGTTCGGCGGGTTCCTACTATTCTCCGGCGTTCTAGCCGATCGGTATGGCAGACAAATGATCTTCAGTGTTGGGATGCTCTGGCTTTCTATCTGGACCCTCGCTATTGGTTTTGGAAACTCGTTCATCCAGGTCGCGATTTTTCGTGCGCTTCAGGGTATAGGTGCAGCGATGACGGTCCCTTCTGCCATCGGAATCATCAGTTCCTATTTTGTTGCTAGCGAACGGGCTGTCGCTCTCACTTTCTTTGGAGCGAGTGGCGCCATCGGCTTCGCCGCAGGACTACTTTTTGGTGGCTTCGTGACAGAAGCACTAGGCTGGAGATATATATTCCGGATTGCAGTAGTAGCTACTACTCCGCTGGGCATTCTGGGGTGGTTTTGTTTGCCTAACGATCGCCGAGAAGGCAGTGCACGGCCAAGTCTAGATTTTGTTGGAGCGGGGCTGTCCACGTCCGGCTTGATTCTATTGTCTTTCGTCCTTTCAAGTGGAGGTGAGTATGGATGGAATAAGGCGTTCATTATCGCATTGTTAGTCATTTCGGTCGTCATGCTTGGTGTATTCACATTCGCAGAAAAGAAAGTCAGGAACTCTATCATGCCGCTGTCGCTCTGGAAGATCAAGAATTTTGCGCCTCTTTGGGTTACAGGCTTCTGTGGGTGCCAATTTTACACGGTCTTTTGTACAGTTGCTGACCTCGCGTAGTGGTTTATGGGAGTTACCAAACAGTTACATACTACGTCGTACTGCAAGCACAGGAAGTCGCGAAACTCTCGCCAGGCGCGACGGCGCTGCGATTCCTCCCAATGGGCGCGGCAGGATTGACAACGAACATGGTTATTGCCAAATGGATGAAACAGATGAACATGCGGTACCTCATGACAGTGGGTGGAGTGATCACTCTGATTGCGCCCATCCCAGCGAGTCTGATGCCAGAAGACAAACCTGATTTGTTAGTGACAAACTTTGCCCTGGCTGTCTGAAGCTAATAATCCTTTCACAGCTGGCGATATATTCTTCCCACTTCAATCATGGTCGTCACTGGAGTCAGCATTTGTTACATCTGCACTACGAACATTATGCTTGAGTCTGTGCCAACGAACGTAAAATCTCTGTGTGGCGGTCTCATTAATACAGCCTTTCAAATCGGTTCCGGAGTCAGCCTTGCCTTAGCATCGGCTATCGTGAACGCAGTCGACATAAAGAAAGGCCATAGCGAGGCAAAGCAGTTTCAAACTGGCTTGTTCTGTTGCATCGAACTTTCCCTTATCGGCCTGATTGTCTCACTCTTCGGAATGCGTGGTCTACGCAGCCAGCTCGGTGGTAGCGCTACGATGCATTGAAGATAGAACTGAGTGTATGGATGTTCAATGGAACATTCCTGGGAGGAGATTGCCTGATCATCATCCAACCACGCTAACACGCCAAGGCCTTTTCACACTGATACTTTGGTCCAATATCATACAGTCGCTCTCGGTCTACTGCAAATGTGGAGTTGTTATTTACACATCACCTTTTGTCTACCCACATGGTTATTCACGGAGCTTTATTGTCTACTTGCACTAGCCAAAGTGATGACGTAGTCTGACCATGATCCAGGTACTTGGCGCTTGAGTACAACGTACAACGTACGGTGGGTGTATATCCAAGGTGGATCTGGGAGGGGGTGGCTGGACGCTGCACCTCTTATTCGTTACATGCAGTAACGAAAGCAGGTTGATTTGGCCGCAAGCAATCTTAGCTGTGGCTGCTGGCTTGCATATGCAGGCTCCACATTAAAAATACACCCACCGTACGTTGTAAGCTCTGGGTAACGCTTCCCAGTACTTCAAACGACAAAGCGTAGTTGTACCTTAACTGAAACGTCGTTCGTTGAATATGAGAGGTATCCCACAGCTAGAGTGGTTTGTACTTGTAGAGACAACTGAGGTCAAGGATTGTGCGATAGTGTTGAGCTGATGGTGGCGCAAGGTGAGCTGAACAATTTGAACTCTATCAAACCTGCAAGGAGCACAGTAAGCCTTCAGGCGTCCAGAGCTTGTCCTCACCGGTTGATTCACGGACTTAGGAGTTAAGGTGTTAATCTGTTATTACAATGGAGTCCACATGAATGGACCATCATCTTGTCCATGCTTCATTACCTTACTGCGCTTCCATCTCAAGACTCCTGATCTTCGCACCTCAATCCCAGATACTACTCACATCACCTCCGCCTTGTCGACACATAAACACGATGCCTCTTCCACCACCCCACAACGGCTATGCTTTCCCCGGCCTAGACAATCTCCATAATGATATTTACCCCGCCATCGCCGCGTCCTCGAATTCTTCACTTCAACAATCTGGAAAGGTCGTCCTCATCACCGGCGCCGGCCGGGGCATAGGCCGTGCTACTGCCCTTCAATACGCTCATGCATCTGTCGGTTGCATCATTCTCTGCGCTCGCACGAGCAGCCAGCTTGACCAGGTAGAAAGCGAGATCCACGAGGTCAACGGGAAGATCAGAGTTCTGAAGTATACTGTTGACGTCACTGAGGACGAAGAGGTCCAGAAAGTCGCACAAGACATCAAAGAGAAGGAGGGGAAATTGCATGTGCTGGTAAACAATGCTGGCGCATCGAGTGCATGGGTTCCTATTGTGGATACCGAGCCCGCAAAGTGGTGGCGCGACTTTGAGGTCAATATTAAGGGCCCATATCTGTTCTTACACGCTTGCCTCCCACTTCTGGTCGAAACCGCCGAGAAGAGCAAGACGACTGTTGACGTGATCAATGTGGGGAGCATCGGCGGACATACGACGGCTCCCGGTTCTTCAGCATACGGATCATCCAAGTTTGCGCTGCTCCGATTGACAGAATTTGTGGACGTCGAATACGCAAGCAAGGGGGTTAATGTGGTCACGGTACATCCTGGAGGTGTAGAAACTACATTGAGTAAACAGGAACTGGATATTTTGCAGGCATGTAAGTATTCGTCGACGCTGATGTATTCAAGAAGCGCGTGTCTTGGAAAACGAGATCGTTTCTGCCGATATGTTACAAAGCATAGCTGACATTGTGAAAAATAGACTTGATTGATACACCGGAGCTGGCCGGTGGGTTCTTCGTGTGGTTGACGGCGGCAGCACGGACATGGCTTGGCGGGCGTTACGTGGCCGCGACATGGGATGTTGATGTGCTGCAGAGTATGAAGACGGACATCGTGAATGGGGATAAATTGAAAGTTAAGATGGTCGTTTGAATTCACCACACCAAGGACGGTCGAAGCACCGTGTTTCGATCACGCCCTTCCCTTGTAAGCTCCTCGTTTAAGGCGAGACGCGGTTATCAGATTGCGATTAGGCGCGTCATTCGTTATGGGGGATGATATTAAACTGGCATTGTTGTGGAGATAATGCAAAACTTCTGCAGCAGACTCCCGGCGTTCTCGCTTAACCGGCTTCGCCCAAGCTAATTTGTGGGTACCTGAAGCTTGAACAATGTCGGCCTAGCTTGCCATACTCCGCACTCGATGCGACCACCGAGGTGACAATTCCCAACTCTTGGGATGCTTCTTATCAACTCTTATCCGTATCTGCGCTGCCGATGTTACATCCGTCGCCGCTTCCGACGGGGATATCTTGCAAGATGGCAAGGTTTGCTCCATATTGCTCAGGAACAGTCCCCAGAACTATGCAAGGTTTGTTCTCAACGACGAGAGGGGTAGCGATATGATGAGTACGGTCAAAACGGCCCGATAGTTGTATATATACCCAGCCTTTTGGTCGAGGCTGGAAGATGATACACTTCCGGCCTTTAGGTCAGCTATATTGGCAAAATGGGTATCCTAAGTTCTTTCCAGTACTGCCTGACCGCATTTGCGGTCCTGACAAACGCCTCAACGGCCAAAGCTACCACAAGTGTAACACTGCCAGGTTATGGTAGTTTCTTTGGCACGACCATAAATCAGACACTGACGAAAAGGGCGTTGCCGGCTTCTGTCAACGCATGGCTAGGTATTGATTACGCATCTCAGCCGGTTGGAGAAAGCCGTTTTGCTCCCGTCGGACCACCAGCAGCATTTTCAGGAACAAAGAACGCCTCTGCATATGGCTTCTCCTGTATCCAGGACCCTGCGACGCTCTCCTATCCCCAGGACGAAGCGTGTCTGAGCATGAATGTGTACAGTCCTCAGAATGCTTCTTTGCACGTGAAGCTTCCGGTTCTCATCTGGATACACGGAGTGAGTTAAATGGCCAAAACAAGGAGATATGCAGCTAAGACAATCAGGGTGCATTTGTGTCAGGTTCCGCCAGAAGCTTCGATGGCGCTGCCTTTGCAGCAAATTCCAGAGAACCCTTAATTGTTGTGACGTTCAACTACCGGGTCAACTCCCTCGGCTTTCTCCCAGCACCAGCCATGGAACGTCTTGGGTTGCTCAACCTTGGCCTTCTCGATCAGGAGCTGCTGTTAAATTTTGTCCAACAGTACATTTCTGTGTTTGGAGGCGATCCAGATCGTGTCACGCTTGGTGGCCGCGCAGCTGGCGCTCACTCTGTTGGTATCCATCTTTTTCACAACTACAACAAGACTGCTGGTTCATCCCCGCTGTTCTCTCAAGCAATTTTGCAATCCGGCAGTGTCACTGCCCGTGGGTTCCCCAACGCATCCTATCCTCTGTATCAGGACCAGTTCTCCCAATATCTTGGTCTTATTGGATGCGCGAATGTGATGAATAGTACCGATGATGAAGTCATCGATTGCCTGCGCGCTGCTCCAATCTCCCTGATTCAGGAAGCCAGTACTCAGCTTTACGACGAGTCCACTTTGACCATCACTTGGCCTTTCCAGCCCACTCGAGGTGGTCCGCTTCTTGAGCAAGCTGGCTCTATCTCTGGTATCAATGGGCAATTCTACCGTGTTCCCATCATCACTTCCAACGTAAGAGATGAGGCGAAGTTGTACACGCACGGTGATCTAGAGACAAACCAAGATTTTCTTGACTACATCCACAATATCATACCTGCTCTTACCACAGAGGATGTCTCTGATCTCGAAAGTTTGTACCCAGATCCTACCGGCGACGTCAACGGCAGCTTCTCGCCCTACTCTCATAGCCCAAATTCAACCCAATATGACAGGCTCAGCGCCGCCCTCACTGACTACATGTATGCCGCTGCAGGTCAGGAGACGGCTATCCGTATGTCCTCTGCAGGAATTCCTGTATACAAGCTCAATTATGTTGTCAACAACTCCTTCCCTGCCTGGCAAGGCATCCCACATACCTCAGATACGAAATCGACATGGGCTGAGGGGAATGGCACTGGTGGTATACAGTATCCCGATGTGGGTAAGCTACATCACGGGTACTTCTCGGACTTTGTCGCTCTTGGAGATCCCAATGCGGGAAACCGGACGGGAATCCCAAAATGGCCGATGTATGTAGATGACAATGCGAATGGGCGTCCAGGTCTCCAGCTGAGAATAGAGCCTTTCGGAAACAGCAGGGTCGAGGGTGACTCGATCAGAAGGAAGCAGAGTGAATGGTGGAGGGATGAAAGTAGGGCTACGAGACTGGAAAAGTAGACCGCAGGATACCATGTACTATGTTGCGTGGAAAACACAATCCCAGTGTGTTCGTCACGATTCTATTAAGTCATATTTACTGAAAGGTCCTCTTCTGAACCTCGCTTATGACTCATCTTCCTACATCTAATAGCTTGTAATTCACAGGCGGTCCAATTCTGTCATTCAGGCATTGTTTACACACAACTCAAACGATCTGCACACTAACACGCCTATTTGAGACTTGCTGTAAAACAATGCGCTCGTGCCTCAGTAAATGACAACAATGAGACGCATTATGCACGTTCTTAGGAAGATGGACACTGTGCTTCAACACAGTGTGAGATGGTGTGTCACTTTCCTACCCCTTTCTATAAGTACAGACCGACAGTTCTTCCCAATGTGCTCAGAACAGACTCAACTGTGCCTGAGAACACCCTGAATAGTCCAAGTATACCAATCACCATGTCGACCTCTGGCTCCACGTGGACCCCTTTACCATACCCTTCTCGCATACCAAGCAGCTCTCATACTCCCTCGGTTCCCAGCACCACCTTCCACATGCTCGTCACCGCCGTAAAGGCTCACCGTACAGCGATTCATACTTTCATCTCAGATCCGTCCTCTAATCACTCTTACACCCTTCCTTCTCTAGAAGCCACCCAAGTCTCTCTTGTCCTGGAAGTTGCCAATTTCCGAGCCGAACTAGAAGGGTTGGCACATGAGTTGAGCGAGTATCGGGATCAGATCCTCGAAATGCCGGCAGAGAAGGGGGGGCTCCGGCGTGAGACGTTGCAGGCAGTGATCAAGTCCATTGAAGAACGTGGTGAACTAGGGCGGAAGCTGGACCTGATGGAAAAGGATCTGAAATATTATGCGAGGAGACTGGGGACCGTGAGAAATCACATAGGGCCTAAGGGTCCAAAGGCGCAATTGGTGCGCTACGATGCTGAAGGGAATTTGATGTGAGTGTTAGGTGATGCGAAGAAGGATTACACGAGTTAGCAGTTTGATTTGTATGACTTTTCTGAGTAGTTTTGTATAATTGCTATCGTTTGTCACATTGGTTCAGCATCGAATTTGTTTCAATATACTTCAATTGCAATCATCCTTTCCAAGTATGCCAATACCAGTGAGACTGTGGAACTTATGTCGTGCAGGCGAGGAGTAGATATATTGGGACTCTTGCTAAGGACTATGTTGACACCCTGGTCGATGAAGTCATCGCCAGCGAGATGAACCGATGATGTTGGGTGTAAGTAAGCAGTATAACGCGCTTCTAACTGCCGCTGCGACCGTATTTACATATGGCAGCGTCCCCTCCCTCAACATCAGTAGCCACATTGAGGGTGATGTCGGTATTAAAGGAAAAGAGTGGTAGAGTTGGTTGCTTTCGTGTGCTAGCTCTAACAGGTCAAGCGCAGAAATGTGTGCGAGTCATCTCACGCTAGAGTGAGGGAAGTGGAGGGATGGATTTTTTCAGATCTTGCCAGTAACGAGGTTCAAACTCAATCTTATCAATTCCGTCGGTCCATGGGATGTAATAATGCATGGGCACAACAATGAAATAGTGCGGTGGTATCTGCCAAAGAATAAGTTGTTGGTGATCTATCTCACATTTACGATATTCAGAGACAACCTATTTTGTGTCATGTTGGCGGTTACATGACCGTGCGACCCCTTACAATCGCAAGATGTAACCTGGTTTGTATTTCAAAGGGGTATTACCTACATTGAAGGTCGAGGAAAAGACTATGTGCACGCACTAGATACACCACCTTCTTCGATGCCCGAATGTAACATACTCTCACCAGGTTGTGAGGTTAATAACCATCTACTTGAAATGAGGTACTTCGAGAAATTGTATCTCTTTGCTGGCATGACAAATGGCTTGAAGTGGGCAGCCATGCATTAATAAGTACGGCTAATACCAGCTCCATTACAAACAGCAAGCACGATTGTGACAAGGAGAACGCGCGGTGCAATATCCTGAACCTCAGTTTTACGCCGAAGACACATGTTTCAGTGAAGCGGTGAGTGGATCAGAAGTATCTTTAAAAATCGAGATTTTCGTAGCTCACCCACGCCCGTCGGCGAGCGCCGGCGCGACGCTTGCTAAAAGAGGCGCGACGCGCATCACTGTACGAATTCACGAAATAAATCCAGAACCTCAAAGCATCACAAAACCATATCCCAACACAGCCACCATGTGCCAATCACCACTTCACGACTTCCTCGCCGAGCTGCCCAAGTGCGAGCACCACCTCCATCTCGAAGGATGTCTATCGCCCGCCTTGGTCTTCAAGCTCGCCGCTAAGAACAATATCTCACTGCCGACACCAGAGGAGAATCCCATCTATGAGTCTGTCGAGACACTGTCTAAGCGTTATGAACACTTCGACAACCTGCAAGATTTCCTCGATTGTTACTATCGCGCCCTCGACGTCGTGATCACGCAGGAGGATTTCGAGATGCTAGGGTGGGAATACTTCACTACAGCGCATAGGGATGGAGTGAAACATGCAGAGGTCTTCTTTGACCCGCAAAGTCACACAGAAAGGGGTATCGCATTTAAGACGGTGGTAGACGGGTTTAATGCAGCCTGTGTGCGGGCCGAGAAAGAGCTTGGCATCACAAGCCAACTTATCATGTGCTTCCTGCGCCATCTCCCCGCGAAAGATGCAGCGGAAACAATGAAGTCAGCTGTATCGGGGGGCTACTTTGAAGGTGAACAACGCATCATCTCTGGGCTTGGGTTGGACTCATCGGAAGTCGGCTTCCGGCCAGAACTCTTTACCGAACAATACCTCCAAGGCGAGAAGCTGGGACTTCACAGAACTGCACATGCTGGTGAGGAAGGCGATACAACATACATCAGCGGCGCACTTGACTCCCTACGCGCGGAGCGCATTGACCACGGCATCCGGCTCACAGAGGACCCCGCGTTGATGCAACGCATTGTAAACGAGAAGATCCTGTTGACAGTTTGTCCGCTGAGCAATGTCTGCCTACAGGCCGTCAAGGAAGTTAGCCAAGTGCCTATCAAAACTTTCCTCGATGCTGGAGTGAAATTCAGCATCAACAGCGACGATCCGGCGTACTTTGGGGGCTACATCCTCAACAACTACTGCGCCGTGCAGAAGGCTTTCGACTTGAGCAAGGAAGAATGGAGCACTATCGTCAAGAACTCGATACATGGGAGCTGGATCGGAGAAAAACGGAAAGGGGAACTATTGGGCTTGCTTGAGGAGTGTCTGAGCAAGCATGCGTGAAGCCGGACTGTGCAAAACCACAAAGAAATGCGGGTAGGCTTGGAACAGGGACTGTTGCGAGCAGTATTGAAGGATCAATAGATGAGAATGGTTCTTAGCAGGAGATATTACTGCATCAAATCACTCCAACGAATATTCTTGCGCCCGCAAGAACTTCTCCAACCCCCTCAATTCACCTTTTGACTGTTTCCTTGCCCAATCAACATCTTCCTTCATGCTCTTGCCATAGTATCCATAATCCCTCATGAATACGTGCATCTCGAATAGCGCGTCTCCCAGAGGCCCAGGCATGAACCCTCTAAACACCTCATCCGGCAACTGATGATGTCTGACCGTTTTCCCCGTAACCTTACTGACGATCGCAGCCGTCTCGTCCATCGTGTACAAGCCCTCCGCCGCGGCAAAGAACTTGCCTTCATATTTGTCGGGATCTGCAAGGATGGCGCCCACCCATCTACCTGTATCTGTGATGTCGATCAACGGCAGTGCGGTGTATCCATGCCCGCAGTTTGCTAGGACAAACGTCCCGTCGTTTGCTGGCGAGGGCCGTGGTTTCATGTGGTTCTGGAGGTTTTGCATGAACGATCCTGGGGCAAAGAAAGCGGCCTTGATAGGTAGACTGCGGATGTACTCTTCGATCTCAGCTTTGACGTCAAAGTGCTCCACGTTCTTGAGCTTCCCGTCCGAGATTTCGAATGGGTGCGACATAGAGCTGAATATTATGTACTGGACGCCCGCTTCCATGGCCGCGGCACAGAAATCTTTCGCTTGACGGGTCTCGATCTCGCGCGTACCGCCTTGGTACTGCGTTGTTGTCATGAAGAAAGTGTGCGTGACATCTTTCAAGGCGGATGGGAGTGTTTTTGGGTCGTTGAGGTCTGCTTGGGCAAGCTCTGCGCCTTTGGACTTGAGCTCCTGCATCTTGGAATTCGAGATGTCGCGAGATACAGCGCGCACGTTGTAACGCTGAGCGAGTTCTCGATCATTGAGGACAAAGTTTGCGATGGAGAAACCCTGGTTTCCCGTAGCACCAAAAATTGCGAGGAGCTGTCTGGACATTGTGAGAGGATCTTCTCGATCAAAATGTTACAAACCTGATCGAGATATGGAAGCAGAGGTGGGTGTTCGAATCAAAGGCGTTACATTTTCAGGCTCTGCGACGTATCAGCCTCTTTTATATGTTTAACTCGATTTCCTTGATCTTTGCAGTCTAATAGGTGTGGAGACTTACAAGCATGCGTATGAATGGCACTCGGGCGGAGATAAGAGGTCCCTCGCGGTCTTAGAGGTACAATCGTGATGCCTCCGATGTCTGGTCAAGATGAGCTATTTGTACGCCAATAGTATCGAGTATTTGACGCCATGCAAGGCCCAGTTGGACATGCTTTCAGCGATCGATATTCATCAATCTTGATCGAGATGTCGGAGATGATGGAGATGTCGGAGATAGCGGGGATGTCGGAGCGAGTGAAGAAGGTGAGCGACAACATCTCACGAGCCAGTGACGATATTGAAACTGTGATTAAAATTTGAATATATGTGAAGTAAGTCTGAAGGAGCAAAGGGTTACAAAGACGAGCAGTCAGTGTGCACATACTATATCTAAATAAGGCGCGCTATTAGTTCATTCACGATTCATTGTGTCAAAGAATGATTTCATCGCCTCTTTGACCTAGTTGGCCTGATTGAGGCGCAGTATGTTCGCAATATAAACTGACAAAGGTTGCGAGATGAAAACCTAAACGACATTAAGTATTGCCAAAATCAGTAAGGTCCCTACAGCAAGACTTAGGTTGTGTGTATATAATAACGTAGTTATCGTAAACATCCCTGATAATCTCTCAGGGACATTTCCAATTCATGTGTAATCTATTCCCTACTATCAACTGTAGCGTCGCACATCTGTTATTCTGAAAGCAAATCCTAGCTCTAAGCACTTAACTTCTTACTTCTCAAATATTCATAGTCTGTAGTGGCCGCCCTAACCCATTTTTCTAGCTTCGCGCAAGTTATTTCATCAAACTCTTCTTGCCACTTCTGTATTTCCGCCTCGATGTCAACATGAGATGGCGCTTTACCTTTCAAGATTCCAGATGATGTGTCCACAGTTGCCATGAACGCGTGATGTCGGGGATCCTGGTTCTTGTGTTGCTGAAGCTCCTCGCTCGTGTACTTGGCATTCCAGCTAAATTTCAATTTGGAGGGATCCAGCCCAACTCTCTCACAATAACTGACGAGCACCTCAGGCTTTGCGATGATATCTTCAGCATCTAGAATTATGCCGTCCATACCAAAGGTACTACTGTAACAATCATATATAGACCGGGTCCAACGGTAGGTGTTCACAATTTCTCCATCCCGGATTCGCTCCTCTTGAGTACTGTTTGAAGCCTGTAGAACGCGCCAGAACGACGGGAAAGCCAAAGCAGGATGCCTAATGATGAAAGTCGGTAGCCAGTCCTTCATGAAATCGTCTGGGAGTAACGTGTCATTCAGCCGAGAGCGGTAGGCGCTTAGTCTGTCTGGTGTTTCGATTCGCCAAGTTTCTCGGACGGAAGTCTCTCCAGTGTAGAATCGTGTTTGTGCGACTGGATCCATAAGCGCCCCACTATGCTCTCTGAAAAAAGCAATCTTGCCTTCCTTATCTGCGCGAGACGCATATATGTCGAGCTCTTCAAGAACCTCCTTGTAATTTTGAACAGTAGTACTGATCTCCTCTTCTGACCAGTCGCATACTCTTTTGGCTTGTATACCATTTTCGAATCTCACTTTGATTCCCGGGAGGAACAGATGTGTGCTTTTGCGGTCTAACGGAAGTTGCAGGATGTCGGGTTGCTCATCCAAATTGAGGACTTTAAGAAGTAAATTTGAGGTGGTTCGAGGGTGCGAGATCAACACCAAACGACGGCTTTGTTCCTGTTTCATATTGACTGTTGAGATTCAGGCTATGAGGGTTGAGAGTCGCCTGGAGGTGTCAAAGTATAACAAGAAGTTGAAGCTCGAGTAGAGAGTTGGGCCTGTAAGTAGACACTTAATGCCTTATTACAAGTGCATTCTTTAAAAGTACCTACAGCAGTAGTTAAGCTGTCATTTGTATGACACGTATTTTAGCGGTGTACGAAGATCACTGCGTCATATAACTAGTTTGTTGTGGCACTAAAAGCCGGTGCATTAGAACTATGCACGGTTGTATTCTGTTGCAAATGTGATGCACCCCTCCTAGTAGCTATGTACGCCGTCTATCCTACATTAGTGTCACGCTACTGCAGCCCGAATGTAATAGCGGCTATCGTTTTCTTGTTCTTTTGGGTTTTGATCGAAGTTTGTATTATTGTCGATTGCTTCTCTAAGCAACATAGGTACCTTCTCAGAGGCAATGGTATTTTCCCTACAACTAGGAATCCATTCCATTATATCTGAAGTTTGTCTAAGAATCTCTGCAATTCTTCTCTTGCCCTGCCCCCATTCCTCGACCAGGCAAGGGCTAGATTGCTTCCAATTCTCTGAGCATTTTCTCTTTTTCTCTTCCCAATCTTCTTTTGCGTTGCATCTAGTACGCATTCAAGTTCGGATTTGTATTGATCGAGAGTAGGTGATGGCTCGGATGAGCTACCCCTCGCTAAGGGGCAGGACCCAGTACGTGGTGTCGTTAATTCAAATCCGACGTCAAGTGTCCGCGCCATGTAGGCTACGTTCAACGGCTGGTCTACTGCAAAAGGCCACCCGATTCTAATGTCTTTGAGCATTGTATTGAAGTTATTTGGTTTGTGACTCACAATGGGACTCCTTGACTCAAAGCTTCTACTGCCCCATTGGCTCCTCCATGTGTAACAAACCAACCACAAGCCTAGTACGTTAGTAGCACTCTTGGAAATCAAAAATGCTCTGGCACAGTGACAAACCTCGTGAGCTAGTACCGCTTGTTGTGGTGCAAATGGTAGGAATAGACCATGTCCCAAAGTTTGGAACTCGGTGATCATGTTTTCGGGAATTTTGGCATCCGGATGCGCATGAGCAAGAATCTTCATCGTAATACGGTTAGCTGGCAGCACAGAAAGGGGTACAGGATCTATTTACGAATGGAAATCCTCTGTTCTTCAAGGCTGTTAACAGCACCTGAATATAATCTAGGGACAAGGGCCTATGTTTAAAGTCAGAAACGTCTGAATACAGATGTCAGCTCGATTCACCAATGCTCTGTCCCGAAGCTGATGTAGAAAACGCTCCGTTGCCCATGGGACCTCATTCTTGTGTTCAAGAACTCTAACGCAATGTGACCCCAACCATTTGGTATACTGGTGATCTCAGCTTCAACTGCCATTTCAGAGAATTTTGTAGTACCAGGCATCAAAGGTAGCATCGGACCAATATGAAACGTCATACGCTTGTTTCGACGAGCGATCCATTTAGTGATACTTTCCAAACTCTCTTTGTCATCATACGCGGACGCACAAGTAGTCAGAAGGCCGTCGGCCTCTTCCAGGAATCTGCCAACTTGATCAATTTGAGCACGAGTGTGTGCGATAAAAGAACGAACTTACTCGGCCATAGTCGCCTCAGCCATCTGAATTTTGCTTCTCTTATCTCCTACGTCCTGTGGGTTCAACTCTATGCATGTCATTGGCGGCAATCCAGGGATTCGGACAAAATCTGTACAATTGTGTTGATCATGCAGCGCAGGCTGGCCACCTCGTCCGCCCAGGTCAGCAGGCCCACACATATACAGAAGACCACCAGAGAACGCCATCATCCACTGGAAAACGGGTGGAGGAGAGACGTCGGCACGGATTATTTTCAGCCAGGATAACTGAAATCCCTACAATTTATCAGGTCACGCTGATTAATCTCTAAGCATGTACGACAGGCTTCGGAGCTACTTACATCCAAGATAACAAGCGACGGTCTAGATGCCGCTGCTGCTTCAATCGATGTATGTGCACATCGAATAGCCTTTTGGCTCATAAGAGACTTCCAGGCAAGACGGAAAGAATCGTCAAGACCACCGTTCTTTGTATCATCTGTAAATAAACCGACAACCCTATGCATGGGTTCAGCATAATCATAGGATATATGACGCCACCGGATTCATGAATAGAATACTCACGCACCTGACTTCAGTCCCATCTGCTATCTCCTCTTCTCGCATGCTCCTTGCAAGTTCTTGTGTGACTCTATGCACAATTTCGTCAACATCGGCCACGAGAATAGTGATGACGAGTGTTCTGGAGGCCGCTATTCGAGCAGCCAAGATGCATAGTGAGCGAAGATGACCTTCAGTAACTGGTCAACGTGGGAACTTTATTCGACGTGAAGAGCTTTCCTACTCCAATTCGCTTTACACGAAAGCAGAACATGGTTTGGGTACATAACGAAGAAGACGATTCTCTAGGACATGCGCAACGAAGACATGAATAACTATAATAGAAAGGCTGCGTCGACATATAAGGGTTGTACTTATCAGGAGCAAGATAAATAACACGACCTCTCTGATTAGTAGTATTAGGATTTGCTACTTGGACTGACGCGGGTGTTCATAGGGAAGTCGACACGCGGCAGGCCAGTTGTAAGAATCGTTCCCTATAGTTACTAATCACGAACAAAGCGAAATGACGTAATTACTTAGGTCCGCATGCAGGTCCCACATATCGTGGATCTACCCAATTCTAGAAAACGCTAATGTGTCATTACCTGCCGGTCTAAGCCATTGGTTGAGAGTGACACATTGGGTAACAGAAATTGCCAACGCATACTTGAACCCTGCATGGATTAAGACCTTTCGTCAAGGCTTCCCTTCTTTATACCCATGTAACATGAGAACGCGTTAGGTGAACGAGTAGCATAATCAATTCAGATTAACACTCGTCGATCGATATCCATTTCTTTGTGTCTCTAGCACATCTCCCGCTGCTCGCGTTCTAAAGCATGACCTCTCGCCAGAAGCAGAGACTCCGGATCGCAATCTGGTATGTTCTGATTGTAACTCTTAACTGATGTCCTTGCTGACATCCGCAAGTGGTGGGGGAATCGCTGGTCTAACTGTTGCTGCCTTTCTCGCCAAATGCCCTGATATAGACCTTCACGTCTTTGAAGGCAAGTCAAACATTAGAGCAATCGGCGCTGGGATCGCGGTTTGGAAGAGATATTGGGAAATCCTGGAAGAGATAAGCGATTTTTCATCTGAGTGTACATCACGTGGTTTACAGATACGCCCATGGTCAGATGGTAAGCATTCCCAGGTCCATGATTTTGGTTATCGACCTCTCTAAGTGTTAACTAAAAACCGAATTCACAGTTACCGGCCCAGTTGTTCGAAGATCAGACAATCCCTCACGTGGAATAGACTTTGTCAAAATACCACACGGACCAAGGCACTTACCTCGTGACGACCTTGTTGACATACTTCACGGTCATGTGAACGATGGAAGGTGTCATATCAACACAAATAAAAAACTTACAGCCTGGGCTCAGCAAGACCTCGGGAAGATTGTCGTTAACTTCGAAGACAGTACAAGCATTATCGTTGATCTATTGATCGGGGCGGATGGTGTTCACTCCTGTGTACGACAGGGTATTTTCAAAGGAACCCAAAACCTCTGCGAGCCTGAGTTCAGTGGTCAGTTTGCCTATAGATTGAGCTGCTCAAGGGCAGAACTCGAAAAGCAGAACCCTGATAATGAGGCTTTGCGTGGATTTAAAATTGTAAGTTAGATTTCCTTATTTGCTGGTACCTCCAATACTTACTTCAACTTTCACGATTTAGTGGTGTGGCAAAGGCCGACATGTCACATCAAACACCGTTAGGGATGAGATCCAGATAACTGCTTACGATAATGTCTTTGATGCGAATGGATCACCTGCCCCTTTTAGTGGACCGTGGGTCTCGGAAGTGCCTGCTGCATGGATTGCCGAACGATATAATGGCTGGGAACCAGATCTAGTAAGTCTCTTACAATTGCCGAAAACTGCATCGCGCTGGGCAATCCATGTGGTTCACCCTCTTCCATCGTTTGTAGCAGATCGAGTATGCCTGATTGGCGACGCAGCCCACGCCATGACACCCCATCGAGGACTGGGTGGTGGCCAGGGAATCGAGGATGCGTATATTCTAGCTCGACTCATCGCGGATTCTCGAACCACTGCAGCAAATCTTCCCAACGTTCTCAAGATATACGATTCCATCCAGCGACCCTCTTCTCAGGAGGCGGCGCGACAGTCGTTTGTTAACGGGCTACTATACGGTTTCTTGGATCCGAGAGTTGCCAACAGTTCGTTGGGAGAGGTTGCTGAATTGCTCATCGATAGTTGCAGTTGGATGCTTGAAAAAGACGCCGCGAGGAAAGGGTGGGCGAAGGCGGAATCTGCTCTTGCTACACTAGTTTAATGCTTAAACCCATTATCGAGGAGGGTTGTAGGAGTCTCCCTCAGGCGCAGGGAGTTTGATACTAGTTTGAATGTACATATCGTCGTGTGGTAGTTGATACTATCCTGAATTTCATCGCAGACTCACTCCTATGTACTATCTTAGCTTACCTGATCTACCTCCGGTGCCTCTTCAAATATACTCCTCATGCTGATCTATCATGCCATAGCATTTTTCTGAACGTGTTTAATGTGCAATAAGGCCTACATGATGACTGGTCGAAGTCTGTACTACGTAGTGTTGTTTTTCTTGCTCGCTAAACACATCTTTTGATGAGTGGGTATGTGCTGAAGGTAACAATGCTTGGTACAGGCTGTTAAACTTACGCGGATAGATACTAAACTTACCTAGTGCGCTGACCAGGTTTATGACCTAATGAACATTACTGAAATACTACTTGACTCGGCCGAGTCTGCACACTAAGGGGAATATAAACCTACACCATTATCCTTCACCCATATCGTTTCCGTTTTCTCTATGCAGTCTAACCAAGTCCAAACAATCAATGTGCCGGAGGAGGAGAGGAGCTCTCGCATCCCCAGTGCGGAGACCGTGGGCGCTGCAGTCTCGCTTCTCCAACGCGATGGGATTGTGGTATTGAAGCAGGTGGTCGAGCTGGACGCGGTGAAGACGATCAACAAGATCTTGGTGACAAAGGCGGAAGACCTCGCCTCAGACCCAGCAACGCACTTCAACCAAACCAAGGCAGCCCGCAACATCTCCCAACCACCCCCAACCACCCCAGAGCTCATGTTCGACACCCTCTGGGCCAACCCTTTTGCTGCAGCCGTTAGCGCCGCAATTCTAGGTCCACGTCCTCGAGTTCACTACGCGAATGGGAACACCGCTCTCCAATCGACTGAGAGACAAACCGTGCACGCGGATCTCGACCACAACCATCTACGCTTTCCTTTTGCGATCGTCGCCAACTTCTATATGACCGACACAAGCGCTACCAACGGATCGACCGAAATTTGGGTTGGGAGCCATCGCGATACTAGCGTTGCTGACCACGTCGACACCCGTGATGCCCCGGGAGGCTTATCGACGATCAGACCTGAGCTTGTGGAGGCCCGTCGAGCGCGGGTCCCACCCGTGCAGCCCGTGTTCCAAGCAGGGGATCTGGTACTCCGAGATGTGCGATTGTGGCATGCAGGGATGCCCAACCGCACCTGCATCCCTAGGGTGATGCTCGCCTTCGTGATTTTTCCATGGTGGTACAAGCCCCTTGTGAGACTATCGCTCCCAGCCGAGGCTAAGCCACTAGTGCACAGATGGACAGCGGATACGGGACTTGAATACGACGTGCACTGGCTGGACGGGGAAAACTTGCAGAAGGAATTCTTCGTGACCCTTGAGTCAGCAAACCACGCTCTAGCGTATTGAACTGATGTCACCAATTGAGTCTTTTTCCGCTCCACTGCAGAGTCGACCAAGTCGCATTTTGAACGCCCTAGCACAACCTCAGTAACGGTTCGTTGCAAACCCTTAGACGCGATTGCATTCTGGCGTAGTCGGTTTTACTGGGACTCCACGTGGTGGGACTCTATGTGGTGGGACGTATCCTTGCGATTTTAGCCTCCTCAATCCAAAAGATAGATATGCACAACGTTGAATGTAAATGAATCTCGTTTGCCCAGCATCGTCTTGATATCAATTCTGCTTAGCAACCATTCTACTACGATCGCGCAATCGTCTCCATGTGTGACATCAATGTTGAAGAAGTCTTGAGCAAGCTCACTGTTGCTGAAAAATGCAACCTCACCGCCGGTACGGATGGATGCTTTCAACATCCAAGTGAGCCATACTTATCTCCTACTAGGTAGCGACTTCGCGCATACATTCCCCATCCCTCGTCTCGGAATTCCAGCTCTGCGAACGAGCGATGGCCCAAACACTGTTCGAGGAACACGCTTCTTCAACTCTACTCCGACGATATGTCTCCCTGCTGGCCCCGCTCTTGCTGCGACATGGAACCGAGCCTTGCTCCAGGAAATTGGTGGTCTACTAGGGGACGAGTGCATTGCTAAAGGCTCTCACGTACTCCTAGGCCCCTGTATCAACATACCACGTTCACCTTTAGGAGGCCGCGGTCAAGAGGCCTTTGGTGAGGACCCTATGCTTGCCGGGGTGCTCGCGGCATACATGTGTCGTGGAATGCAAGAGAAGGGCATTATTGCGACACCAAAACATTTTGTGTGCTCAGACCAAGAACAAGGCTGCTTCAGTATGAATTGCATTGTCACGGAGCGGGCACTGCGAGAGATTTATCTCATGCCGTTTATGCTGGCGATTAAGCTTGGTGATCCCGGAGCTATCATGGCTGCATACAACAAGATCAATGGGATCCACGTTTCAGAAGATAAACGGATTTTGCAAACAATTCTCCGTGAGGAATGGGGGTTCCAAGGTCTGGTCATGAGTGATTGGTAAGCTTCTCTTTTTACATTTTGGATTTACCAGACTGGTGGTTTTCGCATGTCATGCAAGATAACTATTCCTGACTGACTGTGTACACAGGCACGGGTTGTACTCGACAACCGGGCCAATCCGCGCTGGACTTGATCTTGAGATGCCAGGACCGAGTCAGTGGAGAGGCAAGAACTTGGCACATTCGCTGCTGGCTGACCGATTGACGAACCGAGCCCTCGATAACTGCGTGCGCAATGTTCTCAAAATGGTGAAGGGGGCTGCGAGGTCCAATATTCAAGTGGATGCTCCAGAACGACCACTAAACCGCGAGCAAGACCGTGAACTACTTCGTCGTGCCGCGGCCGAGTCAATTGTACTTATGAAAAACAATAACAACATTCTCCCGCTAGATCCTACCAGGTCCATCGCTGTCATCGGCCCAAACGCTGCTATCGCCGCCTACAGAGGTGGACGAATCGCTCATCTTCGCCCTTACTACACCGTAACTCCGTTAGAAGCCATCCGCCAGCGTAGCGAGGCTGAAGTCGCCTTTGCACAGGGTGTGTACAATCACAAGGAGCGGCCTTTATTGGGCCATCAGCTTAAGACTAAGAGTGGAAAACTTGGTTTCGACATGTATGTCTATACTGAGCCTTCGACCATCACTGATCGCAAACCGGTGGATCACTATGAGTTTCTCAACTCATGTGGGTATTTTTTCAACTATGAACATCCAGAACGTATCGATAAGGAGAACTGGCATGTGAACATCGAGGGTTTTCTCACAGCTACGGAATCAGGTCCCTACGATTTTGGAGTCAGTGTTCAGGGTACAGCTTCTCTTTACGTGGACGGAAAGCTTGTCGTCGACAACACACACAACCAGACCTTTGGCGAGGGATTCTTCCGCGCCGGTACCATTGAAGTGGTTGGAACTGTCAATCTTGTGGCGGGACAGACGTACAATGTGCTTGTTCACTGGGCTGGTGCGCATACTTCGGAGCTTATCAAAAACTCCCCCCTTACATTTCATCCTGGCGGCATTCGGCTCGGCGGCTGCATGAAGTTAGATGTCGAATCTTCCATCGCCGCCGCTGCAAAGCTCGCTGCGGAATTCGATCAAGTCGTTGTCCTAGCAGGGCTCATGGGCGATTGGGAAACAGAAGGATCTGATCGGGCAAACATTGACCTTCCCGAACATACTGATGATCTCATTACGAGAGTCCTTGAAGCTAATTCTAAGGCGGTCATCTGCATCAGTTCAGGGAGCCCTGTTGCAATGCCTTGGGTCGACAAGGCTGCGACGTTACTGCACGTATGGTATGGTGGCAACGAAACAGGTAATGCTATCAGCGATGTTTTGTACGGCGATGTCAACCCTTCAGGAAAACTACCCCTCTCTTTCCCCATCCGCCTTAGCGACAACCCTGCCTATCTCTATAGCCGTGCGGAGCGACGACGCCTTCTATATGGAGAAGATATTTATGTGGGCTATCGCTTCTACGACATCATGGCCAAAGAAGTGCTCTTCCCATTTGGCCATGGTCTATCCTATACGCAGTTCGCTCTCTCGGATCTATCACTCGCAGTGGATGGGAAAGAAGAACACGCAACACTTACCGTCAAGTTGGAGGTTGCTAACGTTGGGGATCGCGATGGATCTGAGACCGTACAAGTTTACATTCAGCCCGAAGCGCCTAGTGTAGGACGGCCGTTGAGGGAACTCAAAGGCTTCGAAAAGGTAACAATCCCAAAGCAAGCCAAAGCTACTGTCACAGTACCCATGGAACTCAAATACGCAATGGCCTTTTGGGACGAGGCTGAAGAGCGGTGGGTTTGCGAAAAGGGCATTTACACAATTCAGGTTGGAACAAGCAGCAGAGGGAAGTTCCTGGAGCAGCGTTTTGAAGTTGAACAAACGTTTTGGTGGCAAGGCCTATAGAAAAGCTTGCATCGAGAATGTGGGTAAATGTTACAAATATAATCAACGTGTTGTCTAATCTAGTGCCCGTTTCGTCCTCCTCCATTAGCAACAGCGTCATTACCGTTCAATACTTTTCCGTTTGACCTGTGCTCATACATTTTGTGCCCATTCAGCTTATTCCCATTGAGGTTATTTTCGTTCGACTCCTTTCCTGACCCATAACTCTCTACCATGTTAGCGACCATGGTCTTCGCCTGTACCAAATCATTCTGATGCCCCCTGACGACATTGATGAAGTCGGCTGTGGTTAACAAGAGATTGAAATCCTTGACCCAAGTGTCCTCCTCGGCCGAGACTTTGAATATCACTGTCATAAGCGGCTTACGGTGTCGGTTTCGCACGGCAATAAGGTGATCGATGGCTCCTAAGAACTTTGGGTCGTCGCGCTCACCGAACTTGCGAGCGGGAAGACCTAATGAGAGACGCAAGTCACCTGGCCCCAGCATTAGACTGTCGACGCCTGGTGTAGCGGCGATAGCATCGGCGTTGTCAAGGGCCAACTGAAGGTCATTTCCGAATCAACAATCTGCGATGGTTGCATAAAAGGAACACTGACCTGGCTTTCAATCTGACAGATGACAGCAATGTGTGCATCGGCTACGCGATCATGTGATGATCCTGGCGGCGCTATATCTGTGATGCCTTGGATCAAGGCGCATGGAGACAGTGACCTGTCACCTCCAGAGCCAGCATATCTACACTTGGACACGGCCTCGGCTGCTTCTTCAGGCGTATCAATGTGTGGAAAAACTATTCCGGCAGCGCATGCAAACAGACATTTGTTAGTTTGGCTGATGCCAAGGGCTTGACCAAAGATATCTTACCTGCATCTAAGGCATGTGTCAGGAGATCTGAATGCGCCGAAGGCACGCGTACAACGGCGACAGTTTTGCCTTCGCTACAGAAGTTGATTGTATGGATGATGCGCACTAGGTTCTCGGCATCAATCGGACTTTGGTGGCCGTTAGCCTCTGTTATTGTTTGCAGGATGGATGTGTGGTTGAGACGAGACGAGACGTACGTATGCAGCGCATCGACCATGACAAAGTCCATGCCTGTGACAGCGATGGTTCGAGCTACCATGGTGTGGGGAAAGGCCATGATTGAGCCGTACAGATAGGAGTAAGGCTTGGTAGGGTCCATGGTCTGCCGTATAGCACGCGCCAGGTCAGAGGGCTGGAACAGGGAATGAGCACGGTAGGATTCCATGGTGCAAGATGGGTGACTTGTCAAGATACGATGACGAGGCTGCTCACGAAGAGAGTAGAGGTAGAGGTGAGTAGAAGAAGACTTGAAGGGAAATGGATATATCACAAGGGTTGTACTAGTGCTAGTATAGATGGAGTAATGTCTACGAGAGCAGTCCTATAGGGGTTCATCTGTCTACGTACTTGGATACATGTATTGCATACGTTGCTTTGTGACCCAGTCTTGCAAGGATCACGCGTAAGTCCTTTCTCTTCCCATCTCCAGCGTCCTAGCACTCGGCGACGTGTCTGAGCGCCGTGTGCAGCGCTTTCAACTCCGAGACTGTGCCCACGGTGATCCTCACACATGCACTGCAGCCGACCTGGCCCCCAACATGGCGCACAGCTATGTCATGGCTGGTGCGGAGTCGCCAAACGATGCGCTTCGCTCGCGCATCGTCGCGCTGACACGCGCCTGATGCTGATGGCTGTTTGGCGTAGATGGGCACAAGCACGAAGTTGGCCGCCAAGCCACCAAGTGGGGGCCCAATCCCGCTTGATGCTAGCGCGGGATCGATCAGAAGCTGCGTCAGCCTAGTACGGTTCTGCACAACCTGACGCTGCAGCTCGGTTGCCCGGGCGAGGCCGTCTGCGGACAGTGCTTCGCAGGCTAACCCTAGCGTCACGCTTGACAGTCGGTATGGCATTTGCACTTTGCCCAGCATGCTGATGAGGATGGGATGGGCCATGGCCATGCCGACGCTGCAGATGCCATTAGCACGGCGCAGCGAGTGGACACGAGAAAAGGGAAGAAACTGTACCGGATCCCCGCCAGGCCATGCGACTTGCTGAGCGACTGTACGACAATTAGGTTGTTGTACTTGGCCAATAGCTGCACGGCTGATGCGCGCTCCGGAGCGGCTGCGAAGTCGATGTACGCCTCGTCAACAACAAGAATGCCCCGAAATTCTGCCGCCCATTAGCTTGTACTGCTCAGTCCCGGAGAAGCCAGTATCGACTAACCCTTGAGATTCAGGATGCGTAGAATCTGCTCTAGGGGAATTAGACTGCCCGTCGGATTGCCTGGCGAGGCCAGGAACACCACTTTGATACGCTCATCCGTCGAGAGCGCGGCGCATATCTAGCCAACACGTCAATGATAGCCCGGAGCTATGCACGAGCACTCAGCCTGCGTACATGATCAATCGGCAAGCGGAAGTCGCCGTCTGCGGTCATCTCTTGACTGCATTCGGTAACTCCAACATCATGCAGCCGGGCGCAAACGCGATAAAAGTCGAATGTTGGGGGAGTGACGAGAATGCTCGCACTCCCGGGTGTGCAAGTTGCCCGGATAATCACGTCGATAATATCCGAAGCACCTGATCCTACGCACACCTGCTCAATACCTCCCAAAGTCAGCATATGTCTCCATGAGGCCTGGTCATGACCGTACTTTCCAGTCGCCGCCATTGTACGATTCTCTGCCGAAGGCTTTTGTGTGAGGCAGACGGATAGCGGTTCAAATTGCTCAGATCAATCGTGTCCTGCGGGCATCCGCCGCCGATTTCTGCTTCAGGCGCCAAACAGCTTCCGGCCGAGTTCTCGTTGGCGTCCAAGAGAACTGCTGCACGCTCCTGCACGTCGTCCGAGGTCGACGTGACGTACTTGGGGAATGCTAGGATGTTCTTCCTCACGGCAAAGTGAAGTGAAAAATGGCTAGGTACCAGAGCGGTGGACATTGTGGCGGAAGATGTGGTATGGCAATTCACCCTTCACCATCCATCCCATGCATTTATATGTCCGCACCATTTGCCAATATACTCCTCAACCAATCCTGGGCCCGGGCGGATCGTGAGCCAAGTTGGTAGTAAAGCGACACGCGTTGACATATGCAAACAGCCGCAGAACGCCAACCCCCTCGAATGTTTTCGCAGCATAACAAGAGGAAGTAGAAGAGGATTCAAATAGCCAAAACAAACGTGTGTTATTCTATATCTTTTTCTCCAAAAAGCCATTCGACAAGCTGCTACTACTTGCTGTTGTTAAGACATGAAATTAAGCCTGAACTTTCTAGAGCACGTATATAGTAATACCAATATTACTACATCAGCAGAAGGCGATCGAAATGAATTGTTATGCATTCGGTCTGGCACAACTCAAATAATTGTTCATGGCTTGCCTATTCGATTCGCGCCACAGAATTACTATGTTTTGTTACGAGTTTCATTACAACTATAACGATTACGAGCGTTTCATGTCGCGACTTTGTTCATACACATTATTTCTAACTGGTGCATTCATACTAGCAGTAGTTGCAGGATAATGCTGACTAGAGGAACAGAGAGTCCCCTTTGAACGCACTGCTTACCGCCATCAACAATGATATTACGCTTTGGTTCACGAAATCACTAAACAGAAGATCGCTTCAGAGCTAAACTTCAAGTGTTACTGTACCTCGTGCATAACCAATCTCACCGATGTAGAGCTTTCCCCCCTGACGGTGCCTGAGCTCATGCAGTGCTCCACATGGCTACACATTTGCAAAGCAAGTACGATAGGTACCATTGATTGACTGGCGGAGATAGGTGGGCGGAGCAGGGGGGAGTGCATGTATACAATATAAGACCGAGCTGTCGTACGTGCAAGATGCGTATCATTCTCTTGCATATCTTAGTCGCCATGACTCCAAACCCAATTGATATCGACGCCCACAACCATGAATGGTCGCAGCTACTCGGGTCCCACCTCGAGCATGCCCTGACCACAAGCGAGTCGTACACGTCGGACGAGAGCAAGGATCACCTTGACTTCTTTCGCAGCCATGTTTGCCGATGGCTAGGCCCCGCGCCCAAAGCTAATGGAAATGCGGAGCATATATCTGCAGCCTACCCATCGGCCCTGACTGCCGATCACACGCCATGCGAGATTAGCTATGGATGGAAGAAGGGTCAAGGGCCAACAACCGTTCGATATGTCGTCGACATGATACCTTCCAATGCAAAGTCCGGTCGTATCGCGTCGCTAGCAGCAGCCAGTCGCGCCATCGACGAGCTTAGTTTTCTAGCTGCCTCGGCGTCGCCGGGAGTGCTCATGTCGCCTGATTTGTGGGCTGCGGTGACAGCGGAGATGACGAAGCTGGAGCACGAGATCCACCCTGTGGACCGTCCTTCCTGTGGCCCTTGTAGTTCGTCGTCAGCCTTCATCGGCTTCGATCTGATCCGTCGAGGCGCCCGGGCCAAGCTCTACTGGCTGCTGCCCGCCTGCCTGTCCCCGACCGGGTTGCTGGACCTGCTCGACGTCGTGTTTGAGCGCTGCATGGTAGACGGCCATCTGACAGGGTTGCCTCGATTCGCTGAACACTGGGCCCAAGTGCGCCACTACCTGTCGATCAATATGCACGGCCCTGACGCTCTGCGTCCCCGCATGCTCTCCCTCGACGCATCACATCATCCTATTCCCCGTGTCAAGCTCTACAACCGCTATTACTTTGCCTCTGACGAGTCTTTTGATGTCATGAAATCCCATCTCGCCCTAGGTGGGGAGATAGCTCTGCAGCCGCAAACGCACGACGAGTATGCAGCACTATGGACGTGTGTGCAGGAGAATAATCGCCTTCACGCTCATACTGTTGAGGAGTTGGAGCGACAGCGCTACTGCATGGTCGCCTACGATATCTTTCCCGCACCGGGCGGAAAGGGTAACAACACTATCACCAGCAAGCTATACCTGTTCTGTGACCAACTACCCGGACATGATGCCTTTGTCACCAATGAGCTACTGGCAAAGTTTCCGGCGCCGGCCGATTTTCTACGTCGGTATGTTGATTGTCTCCGCATGACAGGTTGCGATCTAATACACGTGCTTTTTAGCGAGTTTGAAAACGGACGTCTATCAGAACGTTCTACTCATATCAAGGAGTGAGTTACTGTCGATCTTTTTTTATTGTCGATTCAGTTTCCTAATCTGATTCATTAGGGTTGGTCTGACTGGACGTGACGGCGTAGTCGACATAGCTGCCTATATCAGCCCTAGTATATTTACGCCCAAGGCGACGTAACACGAGGGTGCCAAAGCACAGAGTGGAATACCAAAATTAGAGCAAATCTCATTATGCCCTTCTGGTTCTTTTTTACACCTTCGCCAACATCCTCACCAGTCTTACCGTCAAAACGGAAACTATCAAGAAAAAGCCCAAAGACACCCAGTAAGGCAGGTACTCCCAGACACCCCCCCTTTCCAAACCCTCTGCCAATAATGCCGCAAAGACTGGCCCGCTTGTCATGGTTGCCAGCCTCTCTGCCACATTTAGCCCCGTGTACACAAGCGTGATGTGATCTGGATCAATGGCCCTTGTCACAGTAGACTGCAACGCACCATTCATGCCCCAGCCCATCATGTACAACAGCACTGCACACACATACTGTACGTTACGCCATCGAGCCGATGTGTATAGTGATGAGGCAATCGTGCAGAACATGCCCAATAGTGTTGCTGATTGGCAAAAGATGACTAGGCCAAGGTCAAGGCGTGCAGCTGGCTTGCCTATCGCCTGCAGCCAGTGAATGATGAGTGTGAGCACCACAAGCGTGATGGCGGCGATTGCGCGTTGCGCAGCCAGAAAGTAATTTGTATCCGCGAGCGTCCAGGAGAATGTGCAACTGGCCCACTGCGGTATGATAGTGTTGACCCCGTGGCCGAGCTCGTTCCAGAAAAATAAGACCAGCGTGGGTGCTGCAATAGGATTCCGGCACACATGGATAACGGCCAAGAATGCACTGGTAAAGGAATTCCAAACCATGTACAAGGGAGACTCGTTGTGTCTTTGCTCAACTGATATAGCCGGCCTGCTTGGACCACTGCTTGGACCACTGCTGATGCTGCTGTCGAGAAGGGGATCGGTTTCCTCACCGCCTGCAATTGTGGCACTTGGCACGGTTACGGTTACCTTGGTCGCCACTTCTGAAGGGGATTTGTACTTTTGATGGCGGGGGTCAATAATCAGAAAAAGAACGGGGAAAACCAAGCTGTATATCGAGATGCCAACCGACATGGGAAGCCATATGCTTTTCTGCATGAGGCGAGCGCCCAAGGTTTGACTGGCGGCATTGACGAAAAGGCGGGCTGCGTTGAGCGAAAAAAGGGCTTTGCTTCTGCGGGTGGGTTAGGGACAGGTCGAAGGGTCGTATGAGATGCCCTGGAGTTTGGGATTGGGAGACGTTACAGATTAGCCGCAGGAATTGTCTCGGCGATGAGAGCGTTGGTGAGGCTCAGTAGAACGCTTTCACCGCCACCGAAGAGACGGTATATACATTGCGCCCAGATAAGCCTTGTGCTGAAGATTTGGTAGAAATAGCCTGCATGATGGTACGATCAGTGCGGGATTCATATTTGTTCTGACATGGTTAGATCAAAGCGTACATATACACATAGTGTGGCACAAGCCGGCTGCTGCACTTCCCACATTGACTAAGAGAACAGTGCGGCGATTGAAACGTCCGCAGAGGGTAGCATATGGGAACGCTGTCAGAAGCTCTTTGTGGCGTTAGCTAGATATACTTGAGTGAAGTCTTGCGTCATTGGCAAGACGTTGAGAGAAATATACCAATCAATGCTGTGAAGAGAATGTTATAGGCGAAGATAGTAGCTAATTCTTTCTGAACCGGAAGAACTTTACAGAATCGCTCATCTACGTCACCGTTTGGAGAGATGACTTTTGGGTCCTGCGTTTCGTAATAGGAGCGGCAGAGGTTCAGCTCTACCATACGCAGCAACGGTGCTTTCCACATTGCCTGTCCCAACGACACAAGAATAAGAACAGCACCGCAACCCCATGCTGTAGAATGATTGAAGCGAAACATGGTTAGAAGAAAATCTTGATTGTGTGTTGTAACAGATGAGAGACAAGTTGTCAGAGGGAAAAAGTGTCGGGTTAGTCATGCATGAAGCTAAGTAGTCCCACCGCTTAGTACCTCGCCTCCTGCCCATGCCCCAACTTCAAAACCATGACAAGTCTACACACCCAACGACAATATGACCTCACCAAAGAAACCTATCCTTATCATAGGTGCTGGCATTGCTGGACTGGCTTTCGCTCAAGGCTTAAGAAAGGTAAGTCTCACCACAAGTCCACTGTCTGTACAATAACTAAGAGACCTTGATTACAGAAAGGCATTCCTTTTCTTATCCTCGAACGTGACGCGTCTGCTTCAAGCCGCTCACAGGGTTGGGCACTTACCATACACTTTGCCCTTCCGTATCTTTTAGAGTTTCTTCCAGATGACATCGCCAGTCGTTTACACACTGTCAAGGTCGATCCAATCGTTCAGCAAGATCAGAGCCACTCTGTGTTTCTGAACCTAGATGATTGCTCTGTTAAATGGCGCCTACCGCCAACTTATGGAAACCGTATGCGAGTCGTACGTGTACGACTTCGTAGTTTGCTCATGGAAGGTTTGGAAGAGCATATTCTATGGGGGAAAAAGTTGCAATCTTTCGAAACGTCTTCCAATCGTGTGCAGGCCTACTTCGAAGACGGGACCTGCTATGATGGGGAGCTTCTTGTTGGGATCGATGGAAGCCATTCTCATGTCCGGGCGTTGACATATGGGCCGGAACTATCGCGCCCAACGCCTGTTCCCGCTTGTTTCCTAGGTACGGAGGCTCTAGCGACGGAGAAGCAAATGGAGCCATTGCTAGAGCTAGAAAAGACCGTCATTCAAGGCTGCCACCCCATAACCCCCGCCTGGATGTGGTTCTCAGTTATGGAGCGACCAGAAATGAGAAAGTCCATGGGAGAGGAACCTTTGTGGCGCGTACAAATCTGCCTCTCTTGGTTGTCGTCAGTTGGGCTGTCGGAGATCCCCAAGACCAACAGGGAGCGCGTCGAGCTGATGAGAGAAAAGTCCAGTACTTTCCATCCGATTTTCAGGAACATCTTCCAACGCATCCTGTCTTTGGATCACGAAGATATCATCAATGTACCCTTGGAAGTGTGGTGGTTGCCCCAGGGTGCGAAACCGCACCATTGCAACAGTCGAGTTCTACTGGCCGGCGACGCCGCACACACTATGCCATTGTGTGAGTTAACCCCAACTCGAACTTATAATACTACAAAATGCTGATATTCATAGACCGCGGAGAAGGATTCAACCATGCGCTCATGGACGTGCATCACTTGCTGCTATCAATTGAAGAATTGTATACGGAGCCCAGCCGTCGGAATGCGATCATTGTGGATTATGAGGAGGATGTCCGGACCCGAGGCCTGCGGGCTGCGTGCATGTGTCGCGACGCGTGCCTCGAAGTGCATCAGTGGGATACGCTCGGGGATCATTCCGTCGTTCGCCAAAAGAGTATGTTTTAACCCCTTTGTGTACTCTTGAAATCGATATAGAATTCCATATTGTTTGTATTTCTTCTCAGGTTATTGCATTTTGTCGTCTTGTTTACGATTCGACTTCATCTTTCTTCTAGCTCAACGACGCTCAAGCCCGGCGCCTTATGGGTGCTTTTCAAAAACCCTGCGTATCTTGAACACATTCGGCTTGATCACAACTATTAGAGCTACAGTTCAAGCCATCTAGTAATCCTATACGGTGTTTTGCTCCAGAGACACGTCAATACAACACCAAAGTAATGCTATTAGAGAATTCAATAGTAACAATACTAGCTTTTGAGCTGTATAGACACTTTTTGTATAGGATACGCCTTACAAATCAAATCAAATGTTGCGCGAGCTTAATTATCACTAAAACCATTTAAAGTCGTACTAATTTACCAGTAGAGCAATGATTAGAGATTGGACCGATTGGCTGTACATAGATCATGTTATGACAAGGTATGTTGAAAAGCACTACCTATCCCCATCGTCCGGCGGATGAGACCCGCGGACTTTGGGCCAATCAGAGCGTGGTTTGGTATCGGTGTGTTGCCATTTGGTATAGAGCTTCGATTTTGAGATGTAGCGCTGTGACGCGATTCTACTGGTCCAAAATCCGCAGATCTAATCCGCCGGACGATGGGATACCTATTCGACCGAGTTCCAGAGGCCCGGTCCACAGCTGAACCCAAGCGTTGCGCCAATGAAACCGTGGCATGAAATACAGTTTTTCTTTCCTGTGTCTCCAGCGAGGATATCCCACCATTGATGCAATGAAGCTGGACATTCAGCACTAAGGTTGCTTGCGTGATCTGCCTTTCATTCGTATGCTTTGGTGTCAGGCAAGAGTAGTGTAAAGAGGAGAGAGTCGCGCAGTGGCTTACAAAGGTGACAACACAGACCAAGACTGGCATGCAGCTCGGTGGTACCCGACGATGCTTTGGCCATGTAACAAAATCGGAATTATCTAGATCTGTTCGGGACGCAAGATCGTAGATCAGCATGGAGCTAGAACAATGTTGAGTCAAGTGGCGTTATTAGGAATATGCGCTGTGAACGCTAACACCGAAAGGATCCCAGCTACTGGTTCTACCACCAGATTGAATCATCCTGGGCTGATAGACTAACTACCTTGGAGAATTGCAGAACATCACGATCTTCCAAATCATGACCTATTGTTAATTCAATATCACGGTTCCCAAATTGACGCGTGGCGTCATCGAGGATAGAGATGGATGTGCCACTTTGCGAATTCTTCCTATCAATGCCAATACACAAGAGTACAATCAGAGACGTAATTGCATCTTCCGGCGCGTCTGTTCCTCTACGAACATTGCGACTTTGATAACTGCAACAAGCCAAGGGGTGAGTACGCATTAGTCGCACTGTTACCTTGCACAGCAGCGGCTACAGCACATTTATTCCCCTTCTTCGTAGCTGCATAAGAAAAGGTTCTTGACGCTCTGGGAGATTAAGCCCACGACGCGCTAACACTGGTAGTTGTCCTGCCCACATTGTTCATACCCGCGGGAGTAGCGGAATCGATATGGACGTGATTTGGAACCTCCCAAACGCTGTTCATGCGATTGCATTACTTGTCGCAATTGCCATTAGCAGTCACGCCAGCGCCTCTATCTTCAACTGGTTGCGCCGTTCCGATCTTCGACAACTTCACACTGCGTTTCCCCAACGGTACGAAGACGAAGATGGCGAGGCTTCTGTCGAGTCAACACAAGCCTTTGCAGATCGTCTCCAGCGGATTGCATTCACCTGCAGTGTCTCCATCGGCAGCACGACCGCATTTGCTCGCTATATACTGATACTCGATTCTGGAATCACATTCGGCCAGACGGTTCAGGTTGGCATATGGGTACGTTGGTCTTGGTTAGACTATCTCCATTTACTTCTTGTATCTTCTACTAACTGGGCATATCAGTTGTGTCTCATGCTACAATCTTTAACGCTTCTTGTTGAACCATCCGCCCCTTGTCGGTTCTCCATCGCTCTGCAGGGCAGTGCCAATTGTATAATCGTTCTAATTACATTGTTCTTTGACTCTAAAACCAGCAGCAATGACTTGCTCAACCTGAACCAAAGAGACCGCCTACTTCTAGTCGTAGAATTTGTATCGGCTGGCCTGGCTTGCTTCAATGGTGTTTTGTTACCGCGTCGGCCTGACGTTTTCTGGAAAGGCTCTCTGGTTGATCGACAATATACGATTTCTTGGTTCTTTCGATCATCGTTTTCCTGGGTTTGGTCTGCCCTGCAAGCAGTCTCTGGCGGTCGTACCTTCGGTGTCGATGACTTGCCCGAACTGAGTCATGAATCACGTTCCTCGCACCTCTTTGAACGCTTCCAGCATGACGGTGCTTCGATGGATCGTAAATCTCCACTCTGGAAGACGTTGGCCTACTCGTATCGCCATGAGTTCCTAGTACAGTTGGTGCTTACTGCGATCGGGTCGGTGTTAAGCTTCGCCCCTAATATTATGTTGTTGGGCATTCTACATACAATGGAGAACGAAGGAAAAGACGATAATAGGCTAGTAACCCTTGCCCCTTGGGCGTGTGGACTAGGCTTTACCATGGCACTTACAGCCTGCATTGGACAATGGAACATCTGGCTCTCGACCATGGATCTTGGACTGAAGATGCAGAGCCAGCTCATCATGGTGCTATTCGACAAATTGTTGCGAAGTCGAGGTTTGACCCCACAGCCTCAGGACAAACAAGAGGAGGACGCAAAACCAAGCAACTCGACTGCAACAGGTCACAACATTGTCAACTTGGTCTCAACGGATGTGCAACAAATCTCAAATTGCGTGCGTGGAATATATCGCGGCTACGAAGCGCTAGTTAAACTCATCGTTGCGGGTTTCTTAATTGAACGCTTGATGGATTATCAAAGCCTTGTTGCGGGTTCTGTATTCGCCATGCTGCTGTTTACGACCAATGCGTTCATCGCAAGGTTGCAGTCTCGCAGCCAAAGCGCCTTAATGGCTCGTAAAGATTCTCGTATGACTGTTGTTGCTGAAGTCATACAAGCAGTCCGCCAGATCAAATTTTCCGGCTGGGAGGATGTATGGGAGTCAACAGTACTACAAAAGCGGAAGGTAGAGTTGGATGCGCAATGGATCGTCAATCAATGGACCATTGCTGCACAAGCCATTTACACTTTTGGTCCTATCCTAATCTCCGTTGTGGTTATCGCAACGCATGTCTACATCAGTGGGGACTTGAAAGCATCAACTGCCTTTACCGTTTTGTCAGTGTTGAACGCAGTTGAAGGTTCACTGGGTACAATCCCCGAAATACAATCTGCGTGGCTTGGCGCCTCAATCAGCCTTAAGCGCTTACAAAGTTATCTTTCGACATCCGAAAGGCAGTTTTCATCGATTCATAGTGATCAAATCATTTTCGAGAAGGTCACCATTCGCTGGCCTGGAGTCGCTTCAGATGGCTTTCAACTTTCCGACCTAACGCTTCACTTTCCACCACACGCTATAAGCGTCATCGAAGGACCATCGCGGTCTGGGAAAAGCCTGCTTCTCGCTGCCATCCTAGGGGAATGTGACATAATTCATGGCACACTCGAAAAGCCTTCTTGCCTTTACGACCCACATGTCAACACCGTGCAATGTTGGCTGGTCGATTTTGCTATTGCCTACGTCGCGCAGACGCCATGGATCGAGAACGCAACCATAACTGAAAACATCCTGTTCGGGCTCCCCATGAACTTGGAGAGATACAACCAAGTCTTGCAAGCATGCGCATTGCCCAAGGATTTGGCAAACTTTGCCGAAGGTGATCGCACAGAAATTGGTCCCAAGGGAGTCAATGTGAGTGGCGGCCAGCGATCTCGGATTGCACTTGCACGCGCGCTCTACTCCCGTGCAAGCATTTTGGTTATGGATGACATCTACAGTGCTGTGGATTCACACACAGCTCAACATTTGTGTAAGTACGTACTAAATGGTCCTCTTGTGAAAGGTCGAACCGTCATCTTAGTCACACATCATCTCGGTCTGTGTGCACCATTTGCGGATTACGTTGTTTCTCTCGCGAGCGATGGTACATGTGTGGCTGCTGCTTCTGTGAAGAGACCACAGTGTGTAGATCCAATCGATGTTTCGCATGATCAAGAGCAGGTACATTTGGAAATTGAAGAGCAGATATGGGAGACGGGTATCACAGACAGAGAGGTCGACATCAATTTGTCAGATTCATCAACCTCGTCATCTGTTACGAGGCACGAAGATGTCTCAACTTCCCGCAAATATGTGGTCGTCGAAGACCAACGGACACAAGGTTCGCATCACCGGGTTCTGTTGCAATACCTAGGCCAGATTGGAAACGCTTGGTTTGGCATCCTGATCTTGCTCATCTATGTCGTATTTATCGGCTTCGTAACTGGAAAGGTACGAATTGTGTGTGCAATATCTGAATTTCACTTTGGAACTAACATGCACATAGTCGTGGTGGATTGCTCGTTGGGCTCATCAAAACGAAATAAACTCACGCATGTTCATCGCATCTGTTGCAGACGATGGTCTCACATGGAACTTGAGCATCTATGCAGGGATTTCGGTACTAGCTTGCGTCGCAGGTACCACGCGTTACTACCTAACACTATCATCGGCGATAGGGCTTTCACGAAAAGCATTCGCGTCACTACTACACTCCGTCCTATATGCACCACTAGACTTCCTTGATCGTACCCCACCTGGCCGGATGCAGAACCGTTTCTCGGGCGATATCGCTGTTCTCGACAGTCAGATAAGCCAAATCTTCAGTCTTGCCTTAACCAGCGCCCTAGAACTAGTCTCTATCCTCGTTGTGGGTACGATGGCTAGTTGGTGGATATTGCCAGTATCCATCATCATGCTTGTTTTATGCGGTCACGCCTCTTACCGTGTTTACGGACTGGTTCGAATTTTGAAGCATCTTGACAGTAGCACCCGAAGCCCAATATTGGAGCGATTCAGTTCTACCATTGATGGTTTACCAACAATCCGTGCGCTTGGGGTCAAAGAAAACTATCGCAACAAACTTGCCACTGAAATCGATGACAATATCCGCGCGCTTTGGAACCTTTGGCTTCTCAATAGCTGGTTCGGCTATCGGATGGCACTTATTGGCGCGACTTTTGCAACAGTGGCGACCTTTGCCATCATATCTGTACCCAGTATCACCGTTGCTATGACAGGATTTGCCCTCAGCTACCTCATTCGCTACGCTCTTGTTGCATCGACATTCATTCGAGGCTACGTCAATCTAGAAGCGGCCTCGATCAGCATTGACCGAGTATTTGAGTATATACAAGTTCCCAGCGAAAGGTATGACGGCCGCATGGTGCCTGCGGCCTGGCCGGAGCAGGGTCGCCTTGATGTTTCTCATCTTGTTGTGAGGTACTCACAACATTTACCGCCGGCTTTGAATGGTATTAGCTTTCAGCTCTTGCCTAATCAACGCATTGGTGTAGTTGGGCGTACAGGCGCGGGAAAGTCGTCACTTGCCATGGCCCTGCTCAGATTCCTCGAAGCTGAACAAGGCAGTATTATGCTCGACGGTATAGACATCTCTACGGTGCCGCTGCGGCAGCTTCGCCAGCGGCTCGTCATGATTCCGCAAGATCCTCAACTTTTCTCGGGTACAATACGGACGAACCTAGATCCTTACAACGAGTTTGACGATACGGAGCTGCTGGATGCGCTAAGATGTGTCCATTGGACACCCGCGAAGACCCAAAACGAGGAAGAATTACTCCTTTCTAACGTAGACTTTCAGCCTGGCTCGTCGACGACGACTACGAGCGATCTAAACAATAACTCACTGGATCACACCACATCGCCTTTAGACCAGGAGGTCGCAGATGGCGGCTGCAATCTCTCAAAAGGTCAACGACAGCAGATTTGCCTCGCGCGGGCCATTGCATCAAGACCTAAGGTTCTTGTCATGGACGAAGCAACATCGTCAATAGATCACCAGACTGACTCTTTGATTCAAAAGTCTATTCGGGAGTCCTTTGGGCGCGGCTTCACTTCCCTGCTAGTGATAGCCCATCGCGTTAGCACAGTAATGGATTTTGATCGCATTCTTGTTTTGGACAAAGGGCAAGTAATAGAGTTTGGATCACCTGAGTCTTTGATGCAGCGAGTCGATGGGCATTTCTATACGCTTGTGAAAGATTCGAGCTAAGCACTTATAGATACTGCCAACGATTTTAGATAATAATAATCTGCTTTATTCCCATTTAACTCCTACTTTCCTTTACGTTTCTTTTCTAAAATCTCAGACTCCATCGAATCTAGAGGACTAATAGTAGTCTATGCAGGTCACGTTTTAGCAAGGTGTTGGTATATCTGCTAACCTGTTTTAGGTCTCCCCGCTCAGAAGGCAAACACTGCATCACTACACCCTGGTACATCGTCGCCTCGCAATCGGTAGCCCCGGCCACAAATCTGCGCAATGAGTAGTAACGAAGCATCCTGGATCGAAACAGAGGACTGGCATACGGCCGGAGAACCATTCCGCATCGTTGACAAGCTTCCAACAGGCCATCTTCCCGAAGGACAATCTGTAGCTGAGCGCCGCTTCAACGTGATGAAGAAATCCGAGCATCCTTTGAACGTCCTCCGGCAGCTATTATGTCACGAACCCCGTGGCCATGCCGACATGTACGGTGGCTTTGTCACCCCTCCCAACGACTCTGGTGCTCATTTCGGTGTACTGTTTTGGCACAAAGACGGCTTCTCAACGGCCTGCGGCCACGGTACCATTGCTTTGGGCTACTGGGCTGTGAATAAAGGACTTGTCAAGGCTCCTGAAGGCGACGGTATAGTGGAAGTGGTTGTTGACGTTCCCTCCGGCCGGGTGGTCGCAAGCGTTGCAGTGAAACAGGGAAAGCCAATCCATGCGGACTTTATCAACGTGTTGAGCTATCAGCTGGGCAAAGGTTTGCCAGTCAAGATTCCGTCACATGGATCAGAGATTAGTGTGGACCTAGGCTTTGGCGGTGCTGTCTATGCTACTGTGGATGCGGCACAGCTGGGGCTCAAGGTCGAGCCTAATCATTGCGGAGATTTCATCAAATTGGGACGGGAGATCAAGGTCGCTCTTGGAGAGAAGGGCAACTATGGTACATATGGCTTATACGGGATCATCTTCTATGATGAAGGAGAGCATGCTGGGGATGAGTCGGTAGCTGTTACGCAAAGAAACGTTACCATCTTTGCTGATGGTCAGGTCGATCGCTCTCCATGCGGTTCTGGTACGTGTACAAGACTCGCGATTCTTTTAGCAGAGGGGAGACTTAGACCTGGATGTTCCAAGCTTCTCCACCGATCCATCATTGGCACATTGTTCGAGGCAGATATCGTGTGTGAAGAAAAGAGTCCTCTCGACGAGTTTCCAGCCTGCATACCTCGTGTAAGAGGGCATGCGAACCTAGTTGGGCGAATGAACTTCCTCATAGACCCAGCGGATCCTGTTTTTCCGGGCTTTCTACTACGATAGCAAGATAGATTGTAATCAACTCTCGTCAGATCAAGCTTGGCTTTTGCGAAGCTGTCGTTTTGCATTCTCGACAGTTTCCTACATGATGGTAAAATGTGACGTGGTTTCAACGAAACATCTAAACAGCGTGACGTCAATTCTAGTATTTCTTGAGATCCTATGCGCAAGTGGTCTTCTCCATACACAGTTGAATGCCGACAAGGCGGATCTCAGAACCAAATCGTAAGAGCGCAGCCTAGAGTCGAGACGGCAACTCGTCCAAATTCCGTGTACTTCCCTGCCCATTTGTTCTCGGATAAACTACAAATCAATCACAACACCAAAGTTCACCCAATCCTCTGCTTCCTTCTCACCCACACATCCATTTCCTCTCTTTCTTCTCCACCATCTGATGTACTTGGTCGAAGCTGAACTTCCCAGACTTGAAGTTTGTAGCTCCCACGGTCCCCTTTGCCGGTATGAAGGTCAAAAGACCACTCATGTTTTGGACAAGAGATGCCAGAACTCAACGTCACGCCAAAATCCTCGATATCAAACGGCGTACCATTAGAGAGCGGATACGACGAGTGCGGGCATTCCTACTCCCGAGTCAGACAGTAGATTTGTGAAGCTGAAGCGAAGGGCGAGCATATACATGATTAATTGCAATGAACTTCCCCTTGTACTGGAACACCATGACTTGATCGCGTGCGTTCCCGCCAGATTCGGGGTCCTTCCAGTCATCGATGGCTATCTCCGTGGCAAGAGAGCTATCTTCTCGCGGCACGTGGAAGACTTTGCATCCTGGTACATGTTCGTTGTTGCATAGACGCCTTTCGCCTACACGGATGTCATCGAGGATATTGGGATATGACGAAGCTGGACCGGTGTGGAACCAAGCAGCGCCTCCTCGGGATGGACGAGTGAATGGATTGAGGAATGACATGGTGCGGTTTGGTGAGTGTGCAGCGACGTGTGACTTTCGCGTTGGGCTAGCGTGATTGCGCTATGCTCACCAATACAAATTACAACCATGCACAATCAACTCTCTGAGGCGCACAGTGCTGAGAGATCAATAATGTTTAACGACAGTCAATGTATCAAGCGGTGTTTGAAGAATAGCATCTAGTGATTGAGCCGTGCGTGGTATCTAAATTTCACTAGAACCGTCACCGCGATCCTTAGGGTACTACTCCACAGTCTTTAATTCATCAGGAACCGCGTTGCCAAACTTTTCCACCGTGTACGAAGCCAGGAACGTAGAAACGCCGGCTGAACTCTTCCAAAGGCCACTATTATTGCGAATATTCTATTCTCGCATTGCATGTCTAATCTATGCGTTTCAATTGTTCTAATCGACGTTAGTCAGGATTTCCAAACGAAACAAAACAACGAAGTATAGATAGGGAGCTCAGGAGTAGAATCGCTTTCACCTCAAGTGCACTTGGCATCGGAGTGAGCTGGGATAACGAAGTAGGGTCATCTTTGCAGGGTGTGTGGTATTGAAGAAAAGGGCAAGGAGGAGTACATACCAATTTATCCCACGCTGCCAGGCGATCCTATCCTGACAGCCAAGGGAGCAACCACGGTAACGTGTTCTGCCCTTATTTGGTAGACATTGTCAACCAAAACACACTGCGGGCGCTCATCGCATGCCTACAGATGATCATGGACCTGGAACCCAATGCCTCTGATGAGCAATGCAAACTCAGAAGCGTGTGTATAACTTAGGCCCCATGGCTGTGCCAGATCACGGAGAATCTTGCCGGCATGTGTCGATTGTACGAAAGCGGATGTAGTTCGGGAGACCAATTTGGTAGTCTGAAAACCCCCAGGACAGCGAGATTTCAATGATGATTACCCATGATCTGGAATGGTCAGCGTTGTTACACGTGAAAAGATGAAGACGGAAGGCTCACCTGAGCAGTGGGCTGCCCACCGTCGGCATACGAAAGCTCGTTCGCAAACGCTCGCGGTGGGCAGACAGCGCGATCAGCCGTAGCTTCTCCGCTCAATGCATCTCTACTCATAAAGAGCCATGCACACCGACGCGCTGTAACAAGTGTTGCCTTTCATAGATTGGCAGACACTGAGGCATTCGTAGTTCCTACGTGGGCAGCAAACCGTCAGGGAAGCGCGTACGCCTCCACCGACCAGCGACAGAGGGAAAAAGCCATTGGCTACATATCGAGATGGTACCGTTGAGTCTAGCTGGCAAGCTGTTCCCTTCTGATAGGGACAAGCTGGAAAGAATTGCGAGTCGCGACAGAGAATGGGTCGAGTGGGAAGAGTTTGCGCAGGACAAAAGAGAGAGATTGCAAGTGGCTAGGCGAGGCGAGCTCGAGCTCTGAAATTGAGTGGGTCTAGCGCGGGAGAGCTGTCTGTGCAGCCTCGTGGGCAGATGTCAGTGGGAATCAGGGCCTGGCCCATGTAACTCAAACTGGACTACCATGAAACAGGATCACGATCAATTGTAGTGTATTTTTGGTACGCCTCTCCCTTTGACAGCGGTTTTGATTCATGGCAAATGCACGATAACATTGGTTCGGGAAGGCGTACCAGGGCGGCCGAGTATGTACGCGCTTCACTGCGTATAGTCCAGACTGCTCGACTTGGCAAGGAGGGAACCTCGAAAACACGACTTGTTGGCGTTCCGTCATTCCTACTCATTCTTCGCGTCATCCTGATAACTTGTTGCCTCGGACATTGTGAGCATGGGAGCTATATTCATATTCGAAAGTGCTTTTGCCTTGTTTATTTGTTGCCTTTCGTCAAAGTGTCAACATTCCAGGCCATCAAACTGACACAGCTCTTCATCTACATACTTTCCATTCGCCTCTTCCTCGGGCGAACCACCAAGGCCCAGGTGTGTGTATTCCCATACTGCACGTATGTGGCTGAAACCGAACCGTCATCCCAGAGCTTGGCATTGCGTTCCAATGGCATGCAAATGTGCCTTACTGTACTCGATCGCAAGTGAACTTCCATATGGGACTGGACTTGGGCAGGGCGTAAATGAAAACACCACAGAAGGGATTTGAGTCCTGCTAGATTCGCGGTTGGCGCTACCAACACCATAGGATGGAATAGAGCTGCAACATTGCAACGCGTATATTTCGGACGAGCTCTAAAGCGTTGAGACCTAAGGAGGTACACGGAGCGTTACCAAAACGATGCTATCAACGTCCATGATTGCCAGAATCTCATACCAGACAGAAAGACGATTTCGCTGCCATGACGGGTCACCTCCTGTCCCAACCTTTTGAGGTGCATTCTCTTCTTAATTCTAGATATGCAGATTTGCCTAAGTGTTCTTGTTTTTTCGTTGAACATGGTGCAGATGCTGTTCGTCATGGCGACTACTTGGGTAATCCATGCATATAAGGCTGATTGTTGCAGGACTCACAATCGGCCAGACACCAACAAGCAATCAAACCTCCCTTGGCTTTGGACGTGCTGACGTGCCACCCAATCTCTGAAGTAACGTTCTAGATTACATCACATCATGACTCTCTTTTCGCATGGCATGAAGTCAACTTGATGTTTATTTGGCGATCTTCGTTCCTTACACATTCAATCGATATCAAGGATATTGCAGCAAACCAAAATGTGTGTTTATTATTCTGGGTGGTATACATTCCAATTAACGCGCTCTAGGAGTTGCCGATTACTCTTGTATGTTTAACACAATCTCTGACCACACTTTGGAAGAATGAGGTGGTGTGAGCCGCATCGGAAGACCACTCGTCCAAAATCTCAGTTAGATGATCTAACTATATTGGACTTGTCCGAATTTCGGCAAAGGTAAGCCTTGTTGGTCCCACTTGTATTCCGGATTTTCAGGCTGTCGGTCAAGTCCAGTAGTCTAACCGCGTTGCAAAAGGAGTGGCAACATAGGAGTGGCACAGTGCTGCTTTGAACACTCATCTTGCGAAGGAACCTTGCCACATGATAGCACTGGTTGAATTTTCGAAATAACTCTGAAGTCGGAGGGGGATTACATAGAGACATCATATAATCAAAAGAGTGCTATTGAAAGACTAGGTGTAGGATACGTAGGAACGATAAGTCCGAGTAAAAAACTCCCTACTTCACTGAGCTTGTCCAATTCCACCGTTCACTTTTTATGTTTCAAAACGCGCTACTCCTCGTTCTGGCCGTTACTGATAGCTTCTTCCGGGTAGATGAGCCTTCTATCACTGATTAGACACATTGACTACGGTCACCTGGGAATTGCAGAATAAAACTTGGTTGCTCCAACATCGTCGCAATTTCGATACAGGACAGAACGGAGAGTACCACAAGTATAAATATGTTCCCCATCCGAGGCGAATAAACTTATTAGCTTTGCTATCGTCTACTGGTGCGCGACAACCGCAGCGGTATGGTTTGAGAGCACGACTACCTGCCAGATTAAAACATGGCAAAGCAATCAATTGGGTATATTATTAATTCGTTACAAAGCAAGAGTGTCGCCGTGCATACTATGGACTATACTATAACAGCTGCACCAGTGTTTGGTGTTGACGTTAGCGTTATTGTACTAAGGAGCTGGACGTGGTGCCTGAATCGATCTCTGTTACGCGGGATGACTGCCGAGTGCTCCTACTATCCTTAGTTGAGAAGGTGTCAGAGTCAGATACCATCACTCCAGTGTATACTACAGAACATATAGACAACTGAATACCAGTAATCCGCCTCAACGATTTGATGAGGGGGACATATCGCGTTGAAATATTTAGTGAACGCATTTCATTCGTTTGTTCTTGTGGTTTATCATCGCCTCCATAGTGGTTATCAAGGAGAGGGCAAGGGTTGAGGCAGTGGCTCGGCAGGTCGGGAACAGAAACGCGATGATGCAAGTGACTTGTGTCAAGACAACTGTCCAAATAAAGGAAGGCGCTGACCTTACTATACTTCTAGAACATAGTCAATATACGTAGTGGCACGCGGATATGGTATGTGTTTCACATCGCTACGCCACGCCCGTCATCTTGGTTCCATCTAGGCTCGATCAGAACCCAAAAACCATAACATCACTAACAATATCAAGCGTACCTCTGTTCGTCCGTTTCGCTCATCCCCCCTGCGTACATAGTCTTCTAGGTCGTACCATTCCCAAGATAAGGGGATGACACTTTAGCATGTTGTAGTCTAACGTTAAGCGAGAGGCCCCTAGTGGCTTTCTATTCGTCTTGCGATTCGTTACTGCCAGGGTCAGGAAGCGGGATCTAAAACACACCCACTTTACTTTAATTTCCTTGCCCCGATAACTCGACGATCGATTCAGGCGTAATTCTCCGTAACGGGTTCGCGACCTGTAGGTTCTACGAGTCGTTTCCACCATTCACATCCGAGAACAAACCAGGCACACCAACTCTGATGCTCCACCGGCGCCGAAATGGCAGGAGCAGCCAGCTTCATCTTAATCCTTGGAGTGTACATATAACACCACCAGCTTTCGTCGTTGGTCTTTCATCTTCATTCTTTCGCTTATTCAACTCGTCACTCATTCATCTTTCGTTTCTCAACCGCCAGGATGCGTTCATCTATTCTTGCTTCTCTGCTCTCAGTGGTTACCGCTGTTTACGGCTATGGCAATCCCATGGATTGCACGGGTATCTGCAACAATGCCCATGACCCCGCGCTCATCCGTCGCGATGATGGAACATACTACCGATTCTCGACGGGTGGCAAGATCGCTATCCACAGCGCATCTAGCATCACTGGACCTTGGGTATACAAGGGTGCTGCGATCCCCAACGGCTCCAAGATCAACCTGAAGGGTAACACCGATCTCTGGGTATGTCATGTAGCTTCCTTGCACCAGCTTGAATACAAACTTACCAACGCTCTCATAGGCACCCGATGTCACCAAGATTGGCGATACCTACTACTTGTACTACACCGTCTCTTCCTTCGGTGTGCAAAACTCAGCCATCGGTGTGGCCACCAGCACGAACCTCGATACCTGGACCGACCATGGAAGCACCGGTATCACCTCAGCAGCCGGAAAGAACTACAACGCTATCGACGGTGCCCTGTACTGGGATGGGTCAAAGTTTGTTATGACATTCGGCTCCTTCTGGAACGATCTCTTTTCCGTCAACATGGCAGACCCACCCCTAAAGGCGACCAGCAGTGCCGTCAACGTCGCTTTCAAGCCCGATGGCGAGCATGCGCAGGAGGGACCGTTCATTGCCAAGAACGGTAACTACCACTACCTGTTCTACTCAGCCGGCAAGTGCTGCGGCTTCGACACAGACAAGCCTGCCAAGGGCGCGGAGTACAAAATCCAAGTCTGCCGCTCGACCAGCGCCACTAGCGGATTCGTTGACAAGGCCGGCAAGAAGTGCATGGAGGGAGGCGGAACCACCGTTTTGGAAAGCCACGGCTGGGTTTACGGACCCGGAGGTCAGGGTGTCCTGTACGATCCCAAGCTTGGCCCCGTGCTGTACTACCACTACGTCGACACTCGCATTGGCTACGGTGATGGACAGAAGAAGTTCGGTATCAACAAGATCGACTTCTCGAGCGGATGGCCGGTCGTATAAGCGCCCGATACGTTTCGGCGTCGCAAAAACCTATCTACTGGCAGTGTTTAGCTGTCTAAGATGAACCTCTTGTACATAAACTTTATCCTTCTATTGTCAATACTAAGTTTGGCTGGACTTGAAGTCCGCTTTCGAATCTGATACATATGCACCTTTGTCATTAGTCGCGAATAGTTGAGGGTGATGTGGTACAATGCTTTCGTCCAAGTGTCGCAGTTGCCATGCCATGATGGCATGCTCGCTGCTCAACACCGTACTGCAAGTACGCAAGTCGCCAGCCATATGTTTTCATCCTTATGGTATTCTTTTTCAATGTTCTGAACAGCCCTTGGCCGTCTTGATTCTTTCCTCGTCTAGTTGTAAACTTATCTTATCCCGAACAATTACTCACTTCCCAACTGTGGACTTGAAATACGCACAAACAGATCGCTTAGGCTGAAAGATTTAGCATGGCACGAAGAGAAACAGAATAGTAACCTGTAAGACGGTATGGCACTGGAACTGCGCGCACTGTACCAAGGTTTTATTGATGCCCAACCAGGGCTGGAAGGAGGAACTTGGGTGAGTGTACTTGTATTACCCAAACAGACAAAGGAAGAGCCTCAATGTTGCAGACAGGATGCGCGGCAGCACTGAAGTAGCAGACACTCCATGCTCGTGGGATACGAGCAATATTGAAAACGAAGAGTGTAGGACGTAACGTCGCGGCGGGTGCACAGTCGAGGCGCGGTCGCGGCTCTGTTCGCGTGTGCCCTCAAGCTGACGCCAAGATTTTGGCGTTGACATACGTCACCATCAGCCCTGAAGGGTGTCACTCACACTCTCCCGAACGACATTGACACATTCACGACATTTCTGCACGATTTGGTTCGTTTCAGCCTGCTACGACTGTTCAGTGTTCTTTTTGTGCAGCCGATCGGCGATAGCCTTGCTGATCTACAGGAATGCGGCAGTGTCATTCCGCCCTTGCGCCGCTTCGTCATATCGATACCCGAAAATCATGTGCATTATCCGCTTCAGGAGCCTTCCGGTGAACAGAATGGACCATTTGATGTAGCACAGAAGCTGACACGTGTGCGTTCATTCCACAACAAACTAGTTGACGATGAGGCTCATCGACCGAGAGAGACGTCTGGTGATGCGTCATTCGTAAAATACACTGCGATTGGCCGTATCGTCATTCAGGCTGCCGCCGAAGATAGCCAACACGTTTTGTGCGGCCGGCCGCCTCTTGGTGTTAGGCTGCATGAAAAGCCCAGCCTTCCCGCTCTACTCGTGTCTCTGCACTACACTCTTGCCATCTCAGCCTTGTCAGTCGAATTTGTCACCAGCCATGAAGAGAGACTTTGCGAAATGCGCTGTAGATTACAAGAACAATGAGACGGCCCAAGCAGAATTTGGTTGGATAGGCCCCATTGTTGGTATTGACCGGAACAATGCGACTCAGATCTCGCGGCAGGGATGTCTGGACTTCTGTGGCGCTGGCATGGACACCTACCCGTGGGGGGAAGCTTCAAGCACCATCACTACTTGGATTCTACCCGTTATCGGCACGCTCCTTCAAGCACCGTTTGAAAGCAACACAACCAAACGAACGCTACTTGCCATAACACGCTGGGTTGGATCGCCCATAGCTTCCTTGTCATATGTACTCTGGAACATCAAAGTATCTGCAAAGGCTGCCCTGATGGTCGATATGGCTGTCAAGTACGGTCAGACGCCAGATCGAAAGAGCGACTTCGGCAGTATGAGAGACTCCATGTACATTTTGCTAGCAATGAACCAGTATACTCTAAATGACGCAGTGGTCCGCCGCGAAAAGGAAGCCGAAAGCTTGCTGCGAATTGTTCTTTTCAGCAAGGACCTGAGACTGACTGACACTGACAAAACTCTGCGCCGCATGAGACGTATCTTGGCGCGAGAGCTTCGCGAGATGAGAAGACGCGGAGTAGTACCGGGTAGGTTGGCCCATGTGGAAGCTTGCTCATCTGCTAACAGTGCACAGTGTTCGTGTCCACCATGTGGTTTTTATTTGCCTTTGGGCTGTCTATCCAAGCCGCGTTCGGAGATTTAGGACAGAACACAACAGCCCACGACCTGGCGTTAGGTTGCTTGCTGGCTTGGTTTCCGATACTAATCATGGGCTCCATTGTCGACCGCAATCCTATTGCTGCAGATGCGATTCGTATAAAGTTGAACGCCTTGGTTGATCATGTCCGACACTCCTTGCGTAATGAACAACATCGTAACAACTTCATCGGCTCCTTCAAGAATCAACCGCAATTCAATGAATTGAAAAAACAGGTCGAGGATGTCGCAAATAAAGGAGAGTATATGGAGGAGTTCTTCCAGGAATTTGCCGGTCAAGCGCGCATACGCTGGCACTACGGTGCAGCACATCCTATCCTCTCAGATATCGAAAACTGCTACATCGCTGAAAGGGGACGCAACTGGCTTGCGAACGAGGAAGAAGCGCGAGCAAATCTAGTCTTAGGACCTGTTAACGACGAGGGCCTTGTATGGTTTGACATCCGCGAGTTTTGGCAGGTTGCTAGCGCCATCACGGTTGTTGGTGGCAGCTGTGGAGGCGCGTTCATCCTGAGCTACTTCACGCCGACGGTCGGGCTTGGCTGTCGCAGCGGTGGTTATACCATCTTTTTCTGCGTTGCATTGGGTCTACTCACGGTCGAGATGATGGTATGGCTGGTACTCTCACCATACGAGATTGACAGGCCAGAGTGGATGACCAAGACGACAACTCGTCTTCACAGCAATGTTAAAATCAGCCAGTGGGAAGGTGACGCCCGTGACAAGTGGACATACCTTAAGACAAGAGCTTCGAGTTTCTTCGTTAACACTGGAGATCGTGTCAATCGGTCAATCGTGTCTGTCGTGCTTCTGTTCCCGTGGAAAAACAAGGGATTGATGAAAGAGCAAGTCGAGGAGTATTTGGAAGAACTGGCACGACGGCGTCGAAATATGAGCCCGCAACGACGGTGGGAAGTTCTCTTTTTCCGCCCCGTCGAGATATTTAATACGATTTGGCTGATATATATCGTGGCTGCGCAAACCCTCGGTTGGTACAAGACTTGTGCGTGTGTCACCAGTACGTGGGGTGGTGGAGGCGGCTACCTCGACTTCAGCGTGCAAGACACTGCGAACAGTAAACAGGTCCTGTGGTACTGGATGTCGGCTACTGTTCTGACGTCGCTGGTCATGGGTCTATCCATGTTCTATATCACTGTAGAGGTAGGTCACCTCGACTGACATTATAGTGGCTCTCACTAACCAATTGTAGTGGTGCCAACAGTCTTTTCTATCTACCGAGAGATATGAGGATGCCATGGACGGGCTACGCCTGACCCGAACATATCGACACCGGACCTTTCTCGTCCGATTCGTCTCTCGTACGATCTCCAGGTTTACATTTGATCCCATGGAGAGGTTAGCTGTCATTGCCGGTCTGATCAAGCGTCCTCAAAAAACGCTACTCTGGACCAAGGACCATACATGGAATCCCAGTTTACCACCCGTACCGCAAAGTTCAGTACGGAGATCGCGACATGCTGCGTCTCCCTCAATTGAGCTCACCGACCATTCCAGTCCACCATATAGCGGTGCAAATATTCAAGAGACTCCGTTCATGGCACATTCTCTGTTTCCCCAAGCCATTTCGACACGTCGTCCGCGGACGGAGAGTGAGTCGTCACTCCATTCGCCGATTACAATAACATCTCGTCGCACAAGCAAGGAATTGTCACCTTTTCTACAACGTCCCATAGCGGCCCATTACACAAATCAACTCGCAGAATCTCTTCCTGACGATGAAGAGCGTGTTAGTGGCGAACATATTTCCGATGACCAGACCCCGTTTGGAGGATGGTTGGGTCTTCACTCATCGCTCCAAAGTAGACAAGGATATACACGCGCAAATTCTGACCCGGGCGACCCACCACTCCATCTCTCTGGAGCAACTGAAGATGGCCTAGGCATTCGTGTTAATGACAAAACACCGGAAAGTGGGACGTTTGGCTAATTGCATGATCTTGGCAGATGTTGACCATGGTTTCGAATATTCCTGGACTTGAGATGTGCCAAGATGTGTAGGCGGAAAGTTGACTTCTTGTGCATCGCCTATTGTCGATTCCGGATAAAGTCGTTGGCGATCGCTATCTCAATCCGGCAGTAATTGTTATATTACTCCGTATGCTTACCCTAGCATGTGCAGATGTTCCCGGGATCTTCTCCGCACCTTCCCGTGCACCATTGGAATGTACCTGTACAACGGCCCGGTTGCCCATCTCCAAGGATCTGGCTAATCCATGCATCCCTGTGCAATATTCGAATACAAATAATATACAATTCCTACCTCGCTCCCAATTGCCAACTCGTTTCTCAAATCCATCACAGATCATGGCTTCGCCACGTAGATCACCATGGCCTAAACGCCATTTTCTCGTTGTCTCTCTTTTGGCCATAACTCATCGTTCTAATGCAAGGTCCTTTTGGTCCACATCTCCCGCAAATGCATCAGACATTATCCGCTCTGCGTATCCTCTCGGCAATGGACGCCTTGGTGCGATGCCATATGGTCCTGCTGGGTCAGAAACAGTCAACTTAAACCTCGATAGCCTGTGGTCCGGGGGACCATTTGAATCTGCAGTAAGTTTCCATCACTTTACACATCCAAGCACCACTGACGAGTTACAGAACTACACCGGCGGCAACCCAAGCTCTGCAGTTGCCCCGGCACTATCCGACATTCGCTCCTGGATCTTTACTAACGGTACAGGCAATGTGACTGAGCTGCTAGGCAGTGACGGCGAGTTTGGATCTTATCGTGTACTTGGAAATTTGAGCGTCTCCATCCCCTCCATCTCCGCCCTGGACAATGAGACCTCAGTCACTAACTATACTCGTACTCTCAACCTGTCTAACGGAGTTCACACTACACGCTTCTCGAAAAACGACGTCGAGTTTGAGACGAGCGTGTTTTGCTCTTTTCCAGATCAAGTTTGTGTGTATGCCGTGGAAGCATCGGATCAGTTGCCAATGCTGGAAGTCAGGTTAGACAACGAGCTCGTCGAGGCAGGACTGCAGGATGTCGCTTGTATCGATTCCACGGTCAACGGAACGGCGCATGTTAGGTTGCGAGGATTGACTCAACTTGGACCTCCCGAGGGAATGCGGTACGACGCCATCGCACGCGTTCTGTCCAGCACTAGTGTCCAAACACTGTGCCACAACGGGACTGGTATACTCAGTGTCATACCAGGGAATGGGACAAGGAGTGTGGCAATTGTAGTCGGCGCTGGGACAAACTATGATGCGAAGAAAGGAACAGCGGAATTCAACTACTCGTTCCGCGGCGAAGATCCCGGGCCAGCAGTTGAGAAGACAACAAAGGAAGCAGCGTCGAAGACGTTCGCTGAGCTAAAAGACAATCATGTTCAGGATTTCGAGGCACTCACCGGTCGCTTTTCGCTATCTCTATCCGACCCATTGAACTCCGCCGAAACCCCCACAGAAGAGGTCATAGCACGCTACAGCGCAGACAACCCATCAGGCGACCCGTACCTTGAGAATCTGCTCTTCGACTACGCCAACTACATGTTCATTTCAAGCTCGCGTCCCGGCTCGCTCCCACCAAATCTGCAAGGTCGATGGAGTGAGGGGTTGTGGGCGGCATGGAGCGGTGACTATCATACCAACATCAACATACAGATGAACCACTGGACTGCAGAACAGGCTGGCCTCACAGACCTACAATCTCCGTTGTGGGACTATATGTCCAACACGTGGTTTCCCCGCGGACACGAGACTGCTGAGCTCCTGTATGGCGCTCCGGGCTGGGTGGTGCACAACGAAATTAATATTTTCGGACACACGGGCATGAAGAGCGGAGCGTCCTGGGCGAACTATGCCGCTGCGGCAGCTTGGATGATGCAACATGTCTTCGACCACTGGGACTACACGCGCGATGCGGAATGGCTGAGGTCACAAGGCTACCCGATGTTGCAGGGTGTAGCGGAATTCTGGCTGAACCAGTTGCAAGAAGACACATTCTCTGGCGATGGGACGCTGGTTGTCAACCCATGCAACAGCCCGGAACATGGCCCGACGACATTCGGATGCGCGCATTTCCAGCAGCTTGTCCATCAGGTATTCGACGCCACACTTTCCATCGGAGCAATCGCCGACACGGAGGGTAACAGCACTTTCCTAGCAAACGTATCAAGCTCACTCGCAATCCTGGACAAAGGCTTCCACATCGGCGAATGGGGCCAGATCAAAGAGTGGAAGATTCCCGATTCCTACGGCTACGAATTCATCAACGACACGCATCGTCATCTCTCCGAGCTCGTGGGCTGGTACCCGGGATACTCGCTCTCCTCGTTCATGGGCGGCTACACCAACGCGACCATCCAGGACGCAGTTGCGCAGAAACTGTATAGTCGTGGCGAGGGCAATGCTGAGGATGCCAACGCAGGGTGGGCAAAGGTCTGGCGCTCGGCATGCTGGGCTCGGTTGAACAATACCGAACGAGCGCATTTCGAGCTGCGCTACGCTATCGATCAGAACTTCGCTGCGAATGGTTTCTCCATGTACTCTGGTACTGGCACGCCTTTCCAAATTGATGCGAACTTTGGCATTGGTGGCGCGGTGTTGAGCATGCTTGTGGTGGACCTTCCGGCGGCATATGGAGATGAGAGTACGCGCACTGTAGTACTGGGTCCTGCTATTCCGGAGGCGTGGGCAGGTGGCGAGGTGAAGGGATTGAGGCTGAGAGGGGGTGGGTTTGTGGACTTTGGGTGGGACGATAAGGGCGTGGTGACGAAGGCGACGCTCGAAGGCAGGACGACACCGCTGCGAGTTGTGAACAGAGACGGGACGGTTCTATTTGAAGGATGATAGGCTGTTGATTAGACTAAGACGAGTCGATGCGCTTCATTGTAACTTTAGTTTTATGATATGCTCGAGAACGATGGACCACATCGTGTCAAGGAGATATCTTGTATTTATACCGACGAGGCATATTTCTGTCATACGCATCCAGTACACAAGTCAATTCTTGATCAACTGCCAATGTTCACGCTCGCTGACTTTCCTACCTTCCGCCATTTTTGACCTCCAGATGACTTCAACCGAGGACCGACGCCGCCTTATAGATCTGATAAAACGCCAACCCCGTCCCAACAGCATACGCCCCACTCCTCACAAAACTCGTGCTATGATCCGCAATCTGCACGTACGCAACACAATACGCTGCCCTGACCACAAACCACGCGCCCACAAACGTGCTCAACCCCGTGATGTCCTTGCCCGCAACCGCATGGCCCAGCCCCGTGGCCGTCGCCCTCTCCGCCATGATGCTCGCCAGCACCGCGACGGCGAACAAGGGCATTTGCTCCGCGTTGTTGGACTGGGCGTTTTCGGCGCGCTGGTACTTCTGGAATACGGCGTCGGGGACTTTTCCCTTTACGGCGTCGGGCGAGAGCGAGGCCTTGGGGTTCGCATTGTTGGGTTTATAGCCCGCTGAGCTGAGGATGGTGCCGGCGTAGATGTGGGGGAGGATGGAGAAGGCGTAGTATGCGGGGATGGCGAGGAGGGGGTAGTTGAGCGCAGAGGACGACATGGTGGTAGTGGTGGTGGTAGTCAGGAAGTGGGTGTTGAGGTGTAGTTTGGGAGTTGCAATGCTTATTGTGAGGCGGAGAGTGAGGGGATACACGCTCGCACGACTGTTTGTTTTTGTGTTGACGTATGCATTCGTCGGTGATGCTCCGAATGACGCACATGCCAGAGGAGTCAGTGCGCTGGATGGTAGGACGACCATCGAGTCATGCACACAATCCCACCCCACGAACTAGAGAAACCCCACTCGAGCATTGAAATTGGAGGCGCATGCTCGAAACGTGCCTTCCTGTGCAACTGGAACCTGTGATTTCCCTGAACCTGTTCGCCCCTCCGGTCGTTTCATGTGCGGGGTGCTGCGCCACAACTCCCTGCAATCCGGAAGACGAGGTTTCATCGAACTTCAAGGGAATATTTGCTGAAGGGAATTTCAGTCACTCAAATTCGGTTGTAGAGATTTGCCAGGAAGAGACCTAGTTATATCTGCTCTGACATATATTCATATCCCTCCAAATACTCTCTTGCCGATACAGCGCAGTTTTAACGATATAATTAGCCTGACCCCCCAACGCAGATCTGGGATGAACCGCTGCTTCAGGCTAGTGTGGCTGTCACTCTCACGATTTTCATTAATGCGAATCCGGCGACGGAGATTGTCAAGCGCTTTCAGATTAGCGAAGTGCAGGTGACGAGAGACATTTTCAAACACACATGTTGGGAGGGCGGACTTGGGATAATTGGAAGCAATGATATTACAGACTCTAGAAAGTCCCTTCTAAGATACAACTAATTTCCTACAACTGGGTATTTACCAAACTACAACGCGCTCAAGATGACATCCGCAGCCTTCTCTGCGATGATGTACGTCGACATCGCAGTGAACGTGCCGGGAATGCGAGGGAAGACGGAAGCATCAACAACACGCAACCCAGCGGTTCCACGAACATTAAACTTGGCATCGAGAACCGCCATCTCATCGTCATCAGCGCCGATAGGGCAAGTCGATGAGGCATGATGACCCCACGAAGCGTCCTTGACGTATTCGCCAATAGCCTCCGGAGAGGTCACGTCGGCTCCGGGAAGCACTTCCTCAACAGGGACGAGCTGGCTCTTGAAAGAATCACGAGCAAGCCCGATGGCTTCTGTCATGGCTTGCACATCGGCAGCGTAGTCGCCCTTGCCAGTGTCGAAGTAGTTGTACACGATATCGGGCATATCAAGAGGGTCTGACGAGCGCAGAGTGACGGTTCCAGCAGTGTTGCGCGGGTGAGCCTTGAGAATAGCCCAGGTGAACATGTCGTGCGCAGAGGTGGCATTGACGGCGTAGTTGGGGAAGTAGCCGCGGAAGTTGACAGGTCCGCCAAAGACAAAGACGTCAAACTCATCGTTCTCGGTGACGGAGCTCTTGTAGAACATCGCGGCTCCAAGACCCGGCGAGGAGTAGATACCACGGTTTCCGAGGACCGAGGCTTTCCAGCGTGCGAGGCACTCGTCATCCTCCTCTCCGGTGAAGGTGCAGCCCTCTAGAGAAGAAAAGTTTGACGGAACTTGGCCCTGAACGCTGATCTCGTAGTGGTCCTGGAGGTTGGTACCAACACCTGGCAAGTCAACGACGACAGGGATGTCAAACTTCTTGAGCTCGGCTGAGGGTCCGACACCGCTGAGCTTGAGGAGCTGAGGCGAGTTGTAGGTTCCGCCAGCGACGATGACCTCGCGCGAAGCAGTCGCCGAGCCTGCTGTTCCATTTCCGCCGTTTGTTTTCGGGCTAGCCTTGTACAAGTACTGGCCGTCGAGGAACTCAACACCCGTCGCGCGGGGAGGAGTAACAGACTCGTCGAAGTTGATCTTGGTGACGTGGCAGTTTAGTCTGACATCGAGAGGGTACATCTTAGTGCCGTTGGCGTTCACGGCATCGCGGACAGCGACGACGAACTCGCGGGCTCCGGTGCGCTTGCCGTCACTGGTAGACAGGGGAATCTGGTACAAGGCAGGCGTGGTATCACGTGTCTCAGTATCAGCGTTTGCGTCACCAGCAATCAAAGTGTCCAAGTTGATGACCAGGTTCGTCTCGTTGGAAAGAGCAGTTGCGGCGCCACCGATCAAGCTCAGAAGCTGGGGGTCGGCAACGACGAAGTCGAGTGGGGCGAATTCTGTTCCGAGCCAGCCATCGTAGCCATGGCCTTCAACACCGGGAAGCAAGTATGCGTTCTTTTCGAGCTTGACGAAATATTTGCGCATATTGTCCGCGGTCCAGGAGTCATCACCGGTGATGGTGGCAATGTTGTCGAAGTCGGAGTCATGCGGGTGAACGGCAATCAAAGCGTTGTGTGCTGTGCAGCCACCCAGGGTTCCTGTTCGAGGGTATAGAGTGCCCTTCATCGTCGAGCCAGCAGGAGGACTGAGGCCAGTGTACTCGTCACCGCTGGGGGTCTCGTACGTGGTCTTGAAGTCAAGCGCTTGTCTCTCTTCGTCCGCATAATGACGGACGAAGAAGTTCCATGCCACGTTGGGATCTTCAGACACTCTCGCGCTGTATGCTGGGACAGTGTAGTTGATGTTCGCTCCTTGGTCATCACCTGCTTCGATGAGAAGCGTCTTGTGACCGGCCATAGCAAGTCGAGCAGCGAGCGGTCCGCCTCCTGCTCCTGATCCAATTACTACGTACTCATATCCAGTGAGGTTGACGGCCCTGACGAGGGAAGTGAAGGCTGCAACTGAGCCAAGAAGTTTTGGAAACAACATAGTGAATTAATAAATCTACACCTGTTAGTGAATATGTAGGTAGATCGTCAACTATAGAAACTTACAGGTGCAAAGGTCCCGAATGAGTGGAGAGATGCCTTGCGAATGCTTGGTGAGAATGATTGACGGTTTCCAAGTAGGTCTTTATATTGCCTCTCTACACAATACAACTTGCTCGTGCCCCTTTCTTGCAGGGTCCCAGATTGAGTTCCATGTCCATTTTCTTCTTGCAAGGTCTGAATGGTCAATTCCATTGATACCATGACCCCCAGGTAATACGACATGCGGTGTTCGTTCCCCTTTCGAGTCAGGGCCGGAGCTTTCCTTCATTGCCCTTGCAAGATGTTCGCCGCGGCTCAAGATCAACAATCCGTCCCGAGACCCCTCAAAAGCGCAATTGCCGAGGCGTTCTCGACCCCACGGATATAGCAATGTATTGCTGCTCAGGACAGATGGGGGAGAAAAAGTCCTCTTCGAGCAAGCGCTTGTCACCGTACTTGGCTTTCTCATGGACGAGCAAAGCCTCGCATTCAGGATCAGCAGGAATCCTGATGGTGGCGTCGACCATGGTGTGCTCAAACGCGACGTCGTTATGCGGCCATGGAACGTCGCGCACGTCCATAACGCATAAAAAGCCAGCTGCTGATTGCGATCCGCATCCGCGAACGGTAGTAGCCTATTTTGACCCCCGCACCCGACGCCTAACGGTGGGAGTTCTGAGTCAGTACTAGGGGTCACGATAAAAGTTGGCATATGCCGAAAGATGCCCAGGGGAAATAAGGCGCAACTCGCACGGTATGAGGACTAGTGACCTGTAAATCTCCAAATTTAGCCTACTAAGCTTGCGTGTCCCTTGCTCTTACCTACAAGATCTGTCAAATGTCTGTTGGCATCACGACTTCTTGATGCAGAAGTCCCTATACCAAAACAACGTTGCGCGTAGCGCGTCTGTTGATCACTAGTAGCCTTCGACTCAAACGGCGGCCAGACCGTGTCGCGCAGTCAATCACAACCTGATGAATCTGCTGGCCCATCGTGCGACATGATAGGCAAATCTCCCATTGATACACAACATGTTTAGCAATCGAGTCGCGAATGACCATGTTAGTCTCCAACGGCGTCACCTCCTTGTGGGAACTTGAGGCGGATACCCCTTGGCATCCACCTTGGTGACATCCATGCATGTGCGATCTACATGCACATGACGAGGACAATCAGCAAGAAAGAGGGTGTTGTGGCGAAATGCCTCGCCGATATTGACCTTGAATACCTAGCCAGGAGTAACTGCAGATCTGGCTCCTGCGTTTGGCAATCCTCTGGGTTGCGATAACGTCGAATTGCATCCTTTGCAAAGCAACATAAGCAGCTGCCCCACGTACTTGCAAGATGCGCTTGATCTGTATGGCTAGGATGTGTCTCGCAAGGAAATGCCTGTACTATCTGCCGCGTAACGTTCTCCCCACGAGATCCTGAAAGGGGAAGACATTTCGTATTTGGCGTTGGGCCATGTCGAATTAGTTAGCCCACTTCTGAAGAATAGAGAGGGCCAATGCCATATACGGTCGTTGCTGGCAGCAAGGGCGATGTTGCTCGTAGTTAGCTTGATCAAAGGAACTTCGAATGACAAGGTCACATCAGAGATACCGAGTGAATCAAGGAGGTTGGGAAGCTTGGGCCTCGCCAAGCTTTACGCGCTAAGTTTTCGCGTCTGCACATCGCGACTTTTTTCTTCTTGGTCATTTCCATCACCACACAATCTCGTTTGACACGGCGATACAGGTTGATATTGAGTTGATGATGGCCTTCCACACTACAAAGCTACGCGACGGCTGAGACCGGAATCCTCAAGTATGGCCGTCGCTTCATACGATACTGTAAGTTCCCTCCACGTCCGTTTCCTTTGTTTGCAATATGATGTCGAATGTCATTCATTCAGTTATCCCTGTCTGAAAACTACTGTTGAGAAAATACTATTCTGATTTGCGTCTTCACTTGACACCCTTCACGTATATCGCGGCGAGTTGAAACTGACGTATCACAGTCGCCTCGTGTTATGAGCATGAATAGATTTTTGGTCATCATGTCCTAGCTCAAGCTATTAAGCTTGCGATACCCTGCTCGCACCGACCCCACCTCCGTCACGTTGGCCATACGATGGGTAGACATATGACGCGGGTCATTCCTCCAATCTGTCTGATGGTCATTCCCGTATTTGTGCTTAGCATTGGGCGTGGGAGTACGCACAATTGTCGCAGCACCATGAATCACATGGAACGGCTTTAGATCGACACACTAAGACGAGATTGACTCTCAAGTGGAATTAGATGCAGAGGCTAGGGGCATGGGTACATCATCGTGCTGTGAGCCGCCGAATGATTAAGCCTGGCCCGATGTGAGGGTTGCCGAGATATTGTAGGATAGTGTGTCTGAGGCAACAGGCCGAACAACGAGGTGCTGCAGATATCTCGGTCATGTTCAATCCCTAAAGGATTGTCCAAATCTCATCGAGTTGAATATAAGCGACCAATATCTCGTGCACTGCTACGACGATCAGGCTACAGCCGCATGTCGTTCCATCACCTCACAGCTTCGTCCATGGTACTGAGAATGGTTACGTCCGCCAACAACTCAGGTTCCATCAACAAGTGCAACGATGATTCAGTGGCGGTTTGTATTGAGCTAGCGCTCTTGCGTCACAATATATACCGGAACATGTTTCCTGTTCCATTCTCGATACCTTCCAACCCAGTAGCCTGATCTGCTCTCCTGTTCAATCTCCTGAGCCAAAACCGCAGCGCCAAAGATCCTGATGCACAGCACACTAACGCTACCGTCAATACAATACACCCCATACGGTACAGTGGGGCATCCCATGAGGGATACAGATAAGCCGAACTGATGTTGGTCGCATTCGCAACAGCAGTACACAAAGCCAAAGTGACAGCCCTTTTTGCTTTCGGTCGGGGGATTGTGGCGCTCACCCAACTAAGGATGATTTGAAACGCGGAGAAGGACCCCATGGCTTGCAGAAACATAGCGAAGTATCGAGCGCCAGTATTGTGGGTTGACATGGACGTGATCTGACCGCAAGCGGAGATAACACACGCGATGACAATGTGGAAGCAACGTTCGTTTGTGCGGCCAGAGTGCCAGGAATTTGCGATGGAGAATAAGAAGGCGAGAAAATATGGCGGGGCCGTAAGTAATAGTGTTTCTACGCGCGGAAACCCAAGTGTTTTGACGATCGACGGGAAGAAGTAGGTGAAGCTCATACTCATCGTCGCTGTCGTTTGGATGAAGATCAAGAGATAGACCTTCCTATCCGCGAATGCTTGTTTCAGTCCCACAAACACACTCTCGTTCACTTCATCGTTCTCGCCATCGACTTCAGTGTTGAGTCGCCACTGTGCCAATGCGCGCTCTTCGGGCGACAGCCAGGTCGTGTTGGACGGGTAGTTCGGCAGGAGCACATAGCCCAAGAATGCGAGAACAATAGTGAGAATTCCTTCAAGAATAAATATCCACCGCCAGGATTCGTAGCCGCCCAGGCCTTCCATGCCGTCAACCACCCCAGCAGCAATGAGTCCGCCGAAAGCGGAGGAGAGCGTATAACCGGAGTAGAAAGTTGCTATCCGGGCGGGTAGCTCGCTACGTTTGTACCAGCAACTCAGGAAGAAAATGCAGCCTGGAAAGTATGGAGCCTCTGTCACACCAACCATGAATCGGAGCGCGACTAGCCCGTTGAAGTTCTGAACAAAACCAGTTGCGCCAGATACGATACCCCAGACGATGACGACAGTCGGCAAATATATGCGTGGCTTGATAATTGACAACACCATATTCGATGGTACCATCATGCTGATGTATCCCGCCCAAAGCACCATCACAGCGGTCTGGTATTGGACATCGCTGATACCGAGTGTGGCTTCTAGGCCCCCGAGGCGTGCGTTGGCGATCGCATTGCGGTCGAGAATGTTGAGGAGAAAAAGGATGGCTAGAATCGGGAGAGAGCGGAGGTCAATCCTTCGCACAAGTTTCTTTTCGAGGGCACGTAGTTCTTCGGATGAGTAGTGTTGAAGGATCTCCGGGAGTTCTATTCCGCTGTCGGGCACTACCTCAAACTTCTCGATCGAGGTATTGTCGATGGATTTGTGGTCTGAAGGATATTCTCGGGCCATTCTGTTGATGTGATCACCTGGCGGTGATACTGGCGTGGATGAGCAAGAGACTTGACCATTTCCGAAATTGCGGACGCTGTCATTGATGATTATATGCTTCCAGCTTATCTCGCTTCCTCAGTGCGAGTCATCTGCATACCTTCATGGTCCTGCATACCATCAGATTACGAGTCGTTCTTGCGGGGAAGCTTCACACATCCTCGCAATCCCCATGGGGTTGAACTTCTTGGCGAACTGACGGAGATGGGCACAAGCCTGATATGGTTTGGAAGTGCGGGGATCTGAGGTAGTTGCTTACCGATCTCTCCAAAAGCTGGCCTCGACAGGGAATGGATCGGCGACAATACCGAACACATCGGCTTCAACACCGAATCATTATGTCTCGGAACCAAATCTGAGTCCGTTTCTCAAACTTTGTGGTGTGATTGTGATGCAGTAAGAACTCAAAACGTGTCTCGCAAATATGATCTAGAATAGAAGAGTTGGAACGTTCCAGTCTGAAAGAAACGAGGACAAGCATGAAGAACAAAGTGGTAGATCCAACGATGTCTCAACATTCGAGCATGTCGCCTGAACGGGCAGACTGACAATATCATCCTCGAGTGATGGGACTATAAAGGGGGAGCAAGCACAAGAGCACTTGTAATATCAACCGGAAGACAGCAACCGCAGCAAAAACCTCGGGTTTGTAAGGAGCCATATCATTCTGACCAACAACGGACGTATTGCCCATTCATCTCAAATTTCGTGAATGCCTGAGCGCCGCCCCAAAACGGCATTCTACAGTCATGCTGAAGGCACTGCGTTACAATTCAGAATGTTATCATATTTGGTCCGGTGATTACTCAGAGATCTTGCGATTGTCAATCTATTTCTCAGTGAATCTATATCTCAGGATCAGGCCAACACATCCCAATCTTGTTACATTGATATTCGAAATTGGATAAACCAAACTATACTGATAGACATACGCTGACCAATGTCAGGGTCTTGCACGACGCTCCTGTGACGGGCATTGTAATGAGCAGCGCATCAAAGTGATGCTGCGAATATGACAACCCAACCTCGTGCACTTGGTGTTAGCTACATCAATCAGAGGACTGGTCTCGTGATCCAAGCCAAAGCACATAACGAGGTCATCGTCAGTATGGGGACCTTTCATTCACCACAGTTGTTAATGGTATCGATAAGTAGTCAATCCTTCTTTCAATCTTTACAGAGAACTGTAATCTAACATGGTAAGGGTTCTCAAGACAGCCTTTTGTAAACATCTAAGACATTCCTAGGATAGATATCAAATGACAAACCTGGCAGGTACTGATGTTCATGTTTGACCCTTGAGGCTTATCTCCGTCCTCAAACCACTATCCCGATATGGACGATACAAGCCCCACACAGCTACTAGCGTAGTTATCTGATTGGAGGGATGTGGACGTTCCTGCACATCTAGAGATTTTAGCTCAGCTGGCTCAGCTGGCTCAGCTGGCATCGGCACGCCATTTCAGCTGTGTCTTGACGGCCCGCGTTCTAGAACCCGAATTAGGAACGACTACTGCGGGGCAGCATACACACTTGCTTTTTTGAGTGCTTGAGCTGAACTTCGAGTCTTTGTCAAGCCACGCGTCGTGTAGAATTTGTCCCAAAGGGGTAACGATGGATCTGCTGTCTGTTCGGAGGGCCCGAATGGCTTATTCCTCCTGCATACCATGAATCCACTTTGATATCCTACGATCGAGGACGAGACTACAAAGCTAGCCGAGACGCTCGCACTCCCGAGTGGCATACTGAACCACATTCTTCCTATCTTTGCTGAGTTCTCCTAAACTCGAGCCATTATGTCGTTCTATCCAACCTTGAGGCCGAAGAAGCGCATCGTAATTTGTTGCGATGGCACGTGGCAATCCTCCGCTCATGGCCATCACAACGTACCCTCCAATGTGGCAAAAATCAGTCGATCTATCGGGAATTGGTACATTGATGAGAACGAATTAACAGCACCTCAAATCGTATACTACGATGCTGGTGTCGGCACTGGAATGGGGTGGCTGGACCAGAAATGGGCCGGTAAGGCTTGCAGAGCACGATAGCGACAGCTTTAGTACTGATGTTTCGGCAGGTGGTTTCGGAGAGGGTCTTGATGAGAACGTGTGCGAAGCATACAATTTCATTGTTAACAACTACACCCCTGGCGATGAACTCTTCTTCTTTGGCTTCTCTCGTGGCGCATACACTGTACGTGCGTGTGCCGGGTTGGTGTGCCGCGCCGGTATCTGCACACCCAGTGCCATGGCTCAATTCTGGGAAATGTATGCCAATTACAAATCCTGTGACCCTACGAAACCAATGGACGAGAGTTTGTGGGGCCAGGAATGGACTGGAAAGCCAGAGCAGTACACTATCAAAGTCAAGGATCACGACAAACAATTCTCCAAGGGCGCAGGCTTCGACTGGCTTTCCAAGGCAGAGAAAAACGTTACCATCAAGGTCGTTGGAGTGTGGGATACGGTGGGAAGCCTGGGATATCCCGACAACATGTGGGTAGATGTCTCTGCCAGGAACAAACCATACGGTTTCCACAACACAAATATCCATCGCCGTAAGTGTCTGTAACATCTGGACGTGACGAAATGCTTACCTGAGGCAGAGATTGAGAACGCGTTCCATGCTCTGGCGCTTGAGGAGCACCGCCAGCCCTTCAGCCCGACGTTGTGGTCGCTTCCACCCGGCAGCAAGACCAACCTCATTCAATGCTGGTTTCCAGGCGTACACATCAACGTTGGTGGCGGCAGCGGCGACGGACTGAAACCAGATAGTAAAGGCGATCTGGAAGTCATGAGTATTACAACTTTCTTCTGGATGGTCGATCGCTGCTATCCTTTCCTTCGATTCCAAGTCGATCCAAATATCGTCTCGGACTATCAGAACGCATTGAACAAACTTACGGAAAAGTCGTTGAAAGCAAAAGATGCTAAAGGTCAGGCTTATGGCGGCTGGGGTATCGGCCCTGTCGTCGACAGTTATGCCGAAGAGGCCTACAACAAGGTTATTGGATCTGCGACACGCACTCCGGGGCACTATTTCCTGAATAAAGTTGACGACAACCCTGAGCATAAGGACGACCCTGAGCATAAGAACAACCTTGAGCATAAGGACAAACCTGAGCATAAGGACAGCCATGAGCATACGCACCAACAGACGAACGAGTACATGCATCCTGTGGTGCATCATGCATGGGAGAAATCCCAAGACATGCCCAAAGCGTTGGAGGGATTTACACGCACATCCCGCGGTCCAGGCAAAGGGAACGATTGGATCAAGATATATGAGCCAGCGCAGCCAGGTATCATCAAGCGTGGATGGTCGTACATACGCGGAACTGCGGCGCCGTCCAAGAGCGAACAGGATCTCGTCTCGATTCCCGAGTTTGTTATTCCCGCGGAAGGCTACAGCGATAAAACCAATCGGTACTGGCAACCATGGGAGCGTAAACTCGTCCAGCATTCCCTTGCTCGTGTACAGGGCTTCATAGATCAGACAGAGAGGGAGACGCGCGCAGACTTGAAAAATGATGTGGAAGGTGCAAGGTTTCTAGCGAAACTGGATGAAGAGAACAAAGATGTGAAAGAGCTGCACCTATGGAAGGAGTCCGAAGTGACGAGCAGCAATCCCAAATACCAGCTCCCAGATTCGGGATGGTAGAAAACGACGGATCGCAGGTAGTTGATTAGTACAACAATGTTTCCATACCACGGATCACATCAGAAAGAAACCATTACCGCTAGACAGTAACACCCTACTGTGTATCACTGAATCGTGAGTGACTCGTTTAATGGAGAGGTTTGTTACACGCAATGTCATTCTTGAGTGTCTTCTGTTCGTTACTGCCCAACTATAGGGGCTATAGGTGGGCAAAGTTGGAGAAAATCACATTCTCTACAGCTTGGGAATTGCATCAATAACGCCGTCGAAACGAAAGATGCTTTTCAGGAAGGGAGCGCGAAGAAGAGTGAGACAAGCGGAGTATGAAAGGTAGCCGCCATTGAATCACCTCGAGATTTATTTGATATTAATTTTCGATTGCAGACTGGCACCCGCTGACTGTATGAATCAAGGTCTGCTTCTGGTCCTGGGTTTGGAAGGTAAAAAGGCAGGAAAGCATGTCAGGAGCCTGCTAAGCAATGAATGGAATACTCAACCGTTAGATATAGGATTATCTGCAACAGCGAAAGAAAGGTAGGCTGAGACAACTAAGAGTAGAGTCAAGATTGCTGTTAACGACATGTCGTTGAACATGGAGCCAGCAGAACTATACCGAGATTAGTATATGCTTTGCTGTAACCCCCGTGTTTCAACGCAGCTTTTATACAACACCGATTCAAATGCAAACAAACTAAAAATAACAATACTCTAAGCCGCCCCCATTCCCTAACTTCATAAACTCCTCCTCCTCAATTGGGTCCCTGGCTTCAATGTAACAGAACACGGAATCGGAATGGTCCCAGAATCGATGTAAAACGATGTTACCGACGTAGTTATATTCTTATCCTTGTGCACCTACCTTACCGTGACCCCGTTAAATACCACACTAATATCTGTAGCAATCTGTTTCATCTTATTGACCCAGACATACCCTTCAACCGGCCCCGGAATGATTATCAGCATTAGGCTCCCTTACTCGAATTCGTGGTGTGGGCGTTGAAACGGAGGTTAGAGACCATGGTCACAGAGTTGGCGTTATATTTCTCCATTAGCCGCTCATGTTTCTCAGTGCCTTGAATGAGGATATGGATCTCGATGCGTACAAGATGAAAGCCGTTGCCAAAACCTTTGTAGATGATGCTAAAGACGAGATCTTGGTTACCAGGCATGACAGGTATATCAGTCGTTTGCAGCTTCCGTGCAGGTCAGACGGTTTATTGGAAGGTGGGGACGTCATTGAGGACATCAACGTCGTCATTACTATCTACGGACAGGAAAGACATGTCAGACAGCTATAACGATACTGCTGATAAAGCCCGCTGATATTTGCGTTGCGAGTCCGCGAATGGTGGTTGAGGCTGCGGATGCTGCCGTGCTCTATGATCCGTAGCGGCAATTCTACGTTTCTGCTCCTCAATTTCTGATTCCATGAAAAGCTCATAGGGGAGTAGCGGCTTGTATTGAGGCGAAGTCATAGGATGATTCCAGCCTGCACCGTACATAGCCCAAATCAGGGCTGTTTGGTATGGCGATTTTATCTGGCCACGGCGTGATCTCGGACGTCGACAGTGGCATGATCGAGCCGGGGAGAGTGGGCAGATGACTAACCGGTTCGATTCCAGGTACATTCATAGCCAGTTGCCAAGCTGGCGCATTGAGCTGTATTGCCATCATCACTGGAGTCGCCTTTTCATCGAAACTTTTCTTGTTCGCATTTGTGTTCAAAGCACGGTCTAGACTGGATTGTAAGTCAGCAGCCAGATTCTCTGCCAAAAGAAGTCGGACATTATCAAGGCTTCCGTGCGTCTCCCATACATACACTGCAGGTCTGTGATCCGGGGGGCTGCTGCTTCTCCCACTTGATCTCGGACGTAATCGGTTTGTTGCGGCCCTTATCATCATCATGTCCCTTTTCTCTATACGTCTACTTGTAGTTCATAACAATATCAGAGGCATTGGCATGCACTCCAGCAGATAAGAATTGCTGATGAGGCAGCAAAGTAATCGTCAAAGCTTTTAGGACACCATTTGGCTCAGGTAAATCGCCAAGAAAGCCAAGAAGCATGTCGTTCCCAATGATATCGTGTCGTAGTATCAACGGCGCACTGTTGACGTCCTGCGGTGGATCGACATTGACACGCATAGCTGGGAATTGCGTGACCAGGGTATTGCGCATAAAGAAACCAAAGTGTGGTACAGGTGGCTTGTAGTTGAGTTTGTGATTTACTGTCTCCAAGTACTCGTCGATTGCAAATTTCATAGCAAGTCAAATTCCGTCCACTGGCTGCTCGTCGGCATCTTTCAAGCTCAGAGCATACATACATGAGCCACATCTATAAGATTATAACGTTTTTATGAAAGTTATGAATCTTCAAGCACGTAGCTTGAAACATCACTCATAGCAGGCAAAAGTCACGCAGAAGACATCAAAAGAAACAGTACGACATAGTAACAGAACCACAAAATCCGTAATCAGATATTTGGTCAGAAGTTAACTGTGGAGGAAAATAGAGCTGGAAATAGTAGGTTCAGGTGATCTATTGTTTGGATCACTGCTCTACGAAGAATTGATCGTAGAGCAACTATATATACTATGTAGAGAGCGGCAAAACAGTTACTCCGAGCTCCGGGATCCCTTGGCGGGCGCTCGGGAGCACTGTGGTGTTGCGACAATAACCGAATAAAAAAGTTAATTATCGAAGAGATCTTACATAACCCTAACCCAAATTCTGCGAATATACCTCAATTCTAGTATACATAGACATTAGACAGAAGAGTAGAAAAACATTTAATTGTTCCTACTCAAATGGTCCTCCTTGACTTCGATCCGGCTTTCCATCCCGCTTCACTCGGGATTGATAATGATATCCTGCCTCGTCGAATCTCGTGCAACGGTTGGTCCACATGTACATCTGTATATGTGCAGTTGGCAATGGGTAATAGTCAACCTTAACCTCGTCATTTTCAACCCAAACACGACATGTAAGGACAGTATCATCCTGCTTAGAATACCGATCCATTGCAGTAAAATAATCTCTTAGTACAGCGCTGTTATTTGGTGCATTCTGCAACCATTTGGCACAATCCTCAACAGTCTTGCCAATCCACGGTGATTTGAACGAGTCTTCAAGTGGTGGCTTTGTGGCTTCTGGTAGAGGTCCTCTTTCGCCTGGCACCTTAGGCATGTCTTCATATGAGTCGGTCGCGACCCACAAGTCCCATGATGCATTGTCCCATTCATGGGCGAGTTGTAGACTTCGGTTGAGGTACTTCTCATCATTAGTCGCTTTTATAATGGTGTTCTGAGCTGCACTCACCTCGGTGTCGATATTTTCGTCGAGCACGAAAAGTGCCCAGGGAGGTTCGGAAGTCATATTACTTTTAACAACAGTCACAAGACTTCTTCTTTCTAGAGTCAGGATGTTGTGCCTGTTGCGTAGTAGGTTCGGCCTGCGTGTAGGAGCTGATGTACTGGGCAAGTTTCCTTTGAAAGGACTCTTGAGACAAAAGGTCAGATGTCATGGAAGAGAACGTCATAACCCACCTAAGCCACGTTGTAAGCGCCCCCCGAAAATAGAATTGCAACGCCCGTTGCGCCATCTTGGCACAGCCAATACAATCCTTGTCGTTTTAGACCGTGTACAGACTTACACCACGCGCAAAGTGAGCCAGTGTAAACATACTCTCGCAAAATAAGCGCGACCTATTCGTTGTATTTTGGCGCTGGCTAGGCGCACACTCGATCGTGTGCTGGGTTACAAATAATAGACTGTAGCAAGGAACTCAGATTAAGGCTACCTGTGCTAAGCGAGCGTAAAGGTTGACCCTTTCGCTGAACGCTGCAGGGGAGATAAGGCTAACATCTACTGGCTAGATAAGCGCTTCGCTCTGGCGAAAAACTGGGTTTCTGAGCCCACTTCGCTTTAATCTATGTACAACCAGCTTTGAACGATCTGAAGTTACTTCTGCGCCTCTTGCTTGCGCCCAATGTACCGCGTAAGAATGTAGGAATCTGTTCCTATCTTACATACTGCGTAGTTGCGGCGCAGATACTAACGGCAGTATACGTCTTGAAACGATAGCCTACTCTGCTGAATTTTGTGATGTTGAAGGTTTATGGATGGCTAATGGAACGCTGGGTCTCACACATTCGAATGGGGTTATAGTGCCTCAAGAAGAAGGTATAAATAAGAAGAGAATGCAGCATGTCTATAAATTATAACAACTCGGCCTGTTTGTATTATTCCTACATTCGTAAAAGACCTCAAATCAAATAGAGTTATTTGTTCATCTCTTTAATTTCCATCTTTGGGATTAGAAACTCCTTAGGAAAGACCGACTGCTAGAAAACCTGTTGTCACTTTATGATGAAGTCGCTCTTCTTCATCCTGCCATTCACCCTTGGAGGAGCTTTTGGTGCTAAAGATGTACCAAAGATCGACGATTACTATGCCCCCGGTCGAGTAGACAGATTGTTCTACAAACGTGCTCCCAAGTCCTGGGTATATTCCAAGTAGACTGCAAGGGCGCTGAGAGTGCTTGCAACAACGCCTGCTTCCACATCCGCTGCCTAGTGCGTTTTCTCTCGACTCCCCAAGCCCATACATAAAACAATTTCCCTACTAGCTGACCTATCAGAACAAACACAATGCCGACGCAAACGAACTAACGTTAATTTGGACCTAACGGCAACTGCGGAGAAGACAACAGGAACCGTCATGAATCTGGGTGCAGAGTAAACAAGCCTCTTAGCGCGAGCGTCTGCAATAATTTTCCTTTCAGTTAGCATCTCAACAACAAACTGGCTCGTGACCAGGATTGCGACGAGTGGCCGCCCGCGCTTGTTCAACAGCTGGCTTTCGACCCAAATCCCCAGGTCCGTCCACCAAACAGTCTCAGATGTATGTCAGATACCGAGAATCGGTCCCTTGGTGGCAAACTCGGTCAATTCATTAGATCAAAAAGAGCTGCGAGGGATGATTTCTTCCGTATGGATCTCACAACCAACATCGGGACTGCAAACCTGAGCAAAGTTCAGTACTGCCTCAACACATACAACGATAAAACAGAGCCTGATTGCACACAAGACGGCCACCAATTCGGTATGGTGCAGAAAGGACTCAAAGGCGGCAAGATCAGCTCTCTATACGACAACGTCGGCAACTTTAACCGGTACAAGTTCCTCAGCACCCCGTACAAGGAGGTTTGCCAGTGCTGTGTCAAATTCATGCGCGATGGGATAACGATTTTCGGTCTGCCGTCCTAAGCGACTGGAAAAACGAAGACTACTACATCAAGGACTTCGAGCTCAAGAACGACGGAGATATGTTATCAATGGAGGGAATGCCTCAAAAGTTGGATATCAAGCGTACAGCTTACTTTGACAGTAAATTTGAGTACTTGTATGGTCCGACGCTTGAGGTACAGTGGCACACAAACATGGAAGGTCAAGATCGCGGCCTAGCCACGGACGCTGGTAGTTCGAACCGATTCTGCTATATTAAACCCGATAGACCGAATAAAAATATAGAGGAGAGGACAGCTTTAACAGTGACAGCGCGTACAGCAGCGACAGCAGCACCAGCTGCAGCCCTTCTCAGCGCCAGCTGAAGGGCTGTTTATCGTTCGTGCAGATGAGAATGGACCGCTTCATAGTGCGAGGTAGTCACAGGTCAATGCAGTGGATGCTGGACTTGCGCACGTACAGGCTGGAGGCGCACTACAACACCAATTCACGCAGTCACGTCGAGTGAATAGGGCGCGAGGAGTTGCTGTACAAGGGCTTGCACTTTACTATGCCGCAGTTCCGCAGCATAATCCACGGGCTGCGGACGGAGAGCCGGCGGCTGCTGACTGAAAAGCTGTTTTTTTGCGGCAACGAGACAGCCGAGCAAGTGCCCCAGATCCCGTAGGGGCAGCTGCGCGACAATCTGACCAACAAGCGGCTCGGGTGGAACTTTTTGCAGGATCACCGCACGCACATGCCCGTCGACGGGGAGCGCTGGCTGTTCGACCGGGTAGGCAGGGACGCCGTAACAAGGGAGCGGTTCATGAAGCCAGGCACGCGCTCTGGCATCGACAGGAAAGCAGTAAAGCGGTACATAGACCGCATAGTCAAGTTCCAAGAAAAGCCAATCGTGCTAATCTACATAACGGGCCGGCAGCTGGCCAGAGCGACGGAGATTCTTAGCGTGCGGTACAGCTACACAGTTAAGGCAGACATTACAGCGTATTTAACAAGGACGGCCTAATAGTATTCGCGATAGAGTACTAAAAGAAGTACGTTGTTAGTAGTAAGTTAAGTTTACACTAGTAAATAGGTTTAGAGTACTTAATAATAGGTTAGAATTAAGTTAGAGTTATATAGACTTTAGGTTAGAGTTAGGTTAAAGTAGTTTAAGCTAAAGGTTATAGTTAAGTAAAAGTAGTTAAAGCTTAGGTTAAGGTTAGGTAAAGGGTACCTATTTATTATTATATTCTATTAGGTTGTAAATACCTCTAAAATTTAGTAAAATATAGTAAAAATTAAAATATTAATAGAGGTCTAATAGTAATAATATTATAGTTAGAACTTAGATCTATAATACTATACTACTACTATTATATATATTTTATTCTATACTCTCTTTTATAAAAGTTTTAATATAATATTTTTTAAATTTAAAGAGTTATTTACTGTTTTATTTTTAGAAATAGTTAAATAAAGCTAATCTTAATTAGAAAGTTTTAAGCTAATATAAAATAAAAATAGAAAGTTTTAAGCTAATACTAAATTAAAATAAAAAATTTTAAGCTAATACTAAATATAAGTATAAAGCCTTAAAGAAAGAAAGATAGAAAGTAATACTAGTTATATATTTAGTATTAGTTAGTAGTAATAATTATGTATTTATATAAAGGCTAATAATATACTTCTTTCTATATAATAAAATATTACTCTTTTATTTTTAAGTATTACTACCTGTCTACTAACTCTAACCTACTAGTAGGCTTAAAGGACTAGTAAAAAAACTAGTCTAAAAGTAAATATAGTTAATATATAGTTACTAGTAAGTATTTCTAGTAACTATATATTAACTACCTTTTTCTACTAGCTTAAGCTAAAGAAAAAGAAATAAAAGGTAATACTAGTTATATATTCTATATTAGCTAGTAGTAAAAATTACGCTAGTAAATAGGTTAGAGTTAAGTAGGAGTTAGGTCTTATATAAGTATAACCTAACCTCTACCTAACCCTTACTTAATATATAGTCTATCCTAACCTAACTCTAACCTAATATTTTAACACTAGTATTAGGTTAAGGTTAGGTTAGAGTTATATAGACCTTAGGTAAGAGTTAAGTTATATTATATCTACTCTAAAATATCTCTAGTAATTAGAATTTTATATTATATAGGTAAGTATTTTAGTAAGTATTAGATTAGAGATAGTAGTTATTATAGTTATTTATTACAGCTTATAGAAGGTTTTATTTAAACTATAAATCTAAGTATTCTTATATAAAAAAAGCTAATTATATAAACCTATTTATTTACCTAGAATTTTATTATACTAAACCTACTATAGTAATATCTTACTAGTACTAAGTCTTTTTACTAAATAGTAACCTATTTAGCGTAAATAGTATTAATATTATAGTTTTTTATAGTAAGTATAGTACTAGTAGTAATAGAAAGAAATTAACTATACCTTTAAAATAACTAATAAGGAATAACTTAGTTACCTCTTAAAGGGCTTTAAGTATAGTTTTTTAAGAGTATATACTTATACTCCTTAGTAAGGCTTTAGTAATCTTATAAATAAGGTAAGAAAATAGTAACTTATAAATAAAAAGCTTAGTAGACTTCTAATACTTCTTAATATCTCTTAGGGCTATAGCTAAGTATTATTAGTATCTATCTATAATTAAAGAATATAATAATATACTACTTTACTTAAATTAGCACTTTTCCTTTACTAGTATCTACTTTCTACTAGTTATTTTTCTTATAGTAGTTTTTTGCGTAGCTTTAGTAGCTAAATCTTTCTTTAACTACTTAGTAGTAGTAGTATTTAGCTTAGGTTTTCTTATTTTAGCTATTATAGTAGAGTAAACTTTAGATAATATAATTAAAGTATATAATAATTAAGTATTATTAGAAGTATAATAATAGTAGAATAAGCTTATTAAAGTTTTAAGAATAATAAGTAGTAAAGGTAAGTAAAAATTTACTATTTACACTAAGTAGGTAATATATATATATAGGCTACCTATACTCTTTTACCTTAAGTTTTCTTTTTAAAACCTACTACCTACTCTAACTTAATAACTATACCTATACTACGTTATTATAAAGTTTAATTATATAATATATAATAAATACTATTAAGAAAAAGCCTAATAATATCCTAGAAAGCCTACTACTAGCCCTAGAAAATAACCCTTTAATAGGTTTTAAGTATTAAGAGTAGTTTAATCTAACTAAGGTATTAAATATATTTATTTATTATAGTAAATACTTACTTATATAAGAGTTTAATTATTAGGAGTATAAAGTCTAAAATATTCTTATATAATATAGTTAAGCTAGTACTTAAAAAAGTTACCTAATAAATTTTAAAAAACTATTTATAGGTAATCTTAGTAATAGTAATTATACTATTACTTAGAAAAACTAAACTACTCTACTTAGTAAAGAAGAAAAAGCACTTCTTACTACTAAAGCTATAGATTATATAATAAAGTATTAGCTTAACTAGTAACTTAAAAAGATAGATTAATATATAGCTATAAGTAAATATAAGTAGGTAAAGTATTTTAAGAGAAAACTTAAGAAGCTAGTATAAGATTACTTTAATAATTAAAAGAGTAGTAAGTTAATATAGTTATTTATTATATAATCTTACTAATAAACTCTAGCTAAGTAGTTAGAAGCTAAGCTTAATAAGGTCTATAAGAAATAAAAAGATCTATACTAGAAAGTTAATATACGCTAATATTAATAAGTTCTATAAAAGGTTACTTAAGTAGGCTAGAGTAGTATAAGTACTAAACCTTAATCTTATACCTAACTATACCTATTTAGTACTAGTAGTGCCTTTAAATAAATTTTATATAATACCTATAAAAAAGAATTAGTAAAGTTAAATAGCTAATCTTTTAAGAGTAAGGGTATAAAAGAAGAGTAGTAAGCCTTTATTACTAAGCTTATAGTAAAAGAATTAGTAATAGTAACTAGTAAGAATTAGTTATAAGTTTAATATATACCTTTATTATATTTACGTACTAATAGTAATAGGTAACTTAAACCTATACCTATTTATAAACTCCTAGGCGTAAATATTTCTACTTTATATAGTAATCTCTTATATATTTAAGGAAATAATAGTAATAAGTAAAAGAAGAAGGTTAATATTAATTTAGAAATTAATAGATACTATAACTAAGGTAAAAATAAGTATAAGGGCGTTAATAAGTATAATAATAAAACTAAGTGTATTAGGATTAAAAATATAACAGTTATATTATTTTAAAATAGGGCTATATACAGTAGTTAGAGTAGATATTAATATAGGACTTTAATATTAAAGTCCTATATTAATATTAGTTTACAATTACCTATAAGTTACTATCCTAAACGTTAAAGTTTATAATTAACTACTATAAGTTACTATTTCTAATATTAAAGTTTATAATTATCTGTAAGTTACTATCTCTAACGTTAAAGTTTATAATTAACTATAAGTCTATTTCTAACGTTAAAGTTTGTAACTAACTATAAATTACTATCTCTAACGTTAAAGTTTATAATTAATTATAAGTTTATCCCTAACGTTAAAGTTTATAATTAACTGTAAATTACTATTTCTAATATTAAAGTTTATAATTACCTGTAAGTTACTATCTCTAACGTTAAAG